GTCATGTCAAGTATATAAAATTTAAAAATTTTGCTAATAAATTTGTTACTGAATTCTAATTTTGCATATAAAGAATGATTCAGACACGTGAGAATATAAAATGAAAAGAATGTGTACATATATGTATCCAAAAGTGATGCACTTATAAGGAATGAAATACTAAGTTAACAACATATGGCACGATGGTTACTTCTTTCTGATTTTTACATCTGTCATCTAAGTTTTAGCGATTTTCCAGCCATTAATCGCCTTTAGCTTAGCAGTGAAATTACATTTACCATTAAGCCTCATGTTACTGAAAGAGATATTTGAAAACAACTGAACAGAAATGGTTGGATTTCTTATTTTAATTTAATTATTAAGAGAAGTTTTAAAGCACAGCTCACTCACCACGAAGCAGTAAAATCAGACACAGTGTCCTCATTTTGATGTGACTGGTCGCAGTGTGAAACTAGAAAAACAGCAAACACTCTGTAGGAAGCTGTAGAGGTGGACTGCGGTGATCGCAGTTTCCTGTAAATGCTGCAGGTTACATTAAAGCTGAACTGAAAACTGTTAATGTCTTGAACATACTTCTGGCATAATGCAAAACATGAGCCAGATTTATTGTAGGCTGTGTGACTGTAAAATCTCCTCTTACACTGTGTGCACAATTATTAGGCAAGTTACATTTTTGAGGATTAATTTTGTTATTGTACAGCTACAGTGCTCTTGGTCAATCCAAAATGTTAACAAACCCTCAAACTTGAACATTTAAGTAGTAAAAGTGAAGTTTTGGCCTTCTTAAGAGAATATCTATAAGTACACCATTACTAGGTATCTATTAGTGTGCAGAATTATTATGCAACTAAATGAAAAACAAAGATTTTCCCATCTCACTTGTTTATTTTCATAATAATTTCAATAAACACATTCAAAATTGACAAATAAACATTTCTGAAATTTAAAAAAAAAAAAAAAAAACCCTCAGTGACCAATATAGTCGCTCTTCTTTTCGATAACAGTCACAAGCCTTCCATTCACGGAGTCAGTCAGTTTCTTGATCTGGTCAGAATCAACTTTTTGTGTAGCCGCAACCACAGCCTCCCAGACACTCTTCAGAGAGGTGCACTGTTTACCTTCACTTTAAACTTCCTGCTTAAGAAGGGCCCAAAAGTTCTCAATAGGGTTTAAGTCAGGTGAAGAAGGGGGCCATGTCATTAGCTTTTCATCTTTAAGGACTTTACTGGCCAGCCACGCAGTGGAGTACTTTGATGTATGTGATGGAGCGTTGTCTTGCATAAAAATGAAAGTCTTCTTGAAAGATGCAGACTTTTTCTTGTACCACTGCTTNTGAGATTTGTCTGCAACTTGAACTCTGTGAAGGATTTATGTGGGCTCCAATCTAAGGTGCTGTTAATTTGTGGTTTCTGAAGCTGGTAACTCTAATGAACCTATCCTCTACAGCAGAGGTAACTCTTGGTCTTCCTTTCCTGGGGCGGTCCTCATGAGAGCCAGTTTCATCATTTGATGGTCTTTGCGACTGCACTTGACGATACATTCAAAGTTCTTGAAATTTTACGGATCAACTGACCTTCATGTCTTAAAGTAATGAGGGACTGTCGTTTCTCTTTCCTGAGGTTGAGTGGTTCTTGACATACTATGGATTGCAACAGTAGTCAAATAGGGCTATCCACTGTGTACTAACCCTACCTACAACTGAAGGTCTCCAACACATTAAGCAGGCAAGTAGTTCCACAAATTGACTCTTGACGAGGCAGACCTGTTAATTCAAAACCATTTCAGGAGATGACCTCATGAAACTGACTGAGAGAATGCCATGAGTGTGCAAAGGTTTCATAAAAGCAATTAATTAACATTCTGGTTTGTTCAACACTTTTTTTTTTTTTGTTTGTTTACTACATAATTCCATATGGGTTCTTTCATATTTCTGTTGTCTTCAGTATTAATCTACAATGCAGAAAATAATTAAAATAAATAAAAAACATTGAATGAGAAGGTCTGTCCAAATTTTTTACTGTATATTCTCACTTGAAACTATTTTTAGTAGGATTTTCTAAATTAGAATGTATCATTTGTGTACCTAAAATATAATAGAGAATGATTTTTATTTGTATTTTTTTTTCAGTCATGGTGGACATTATGAAGTACTTTAAAAGTAAAATATTATAAACACAGGCATAGTAGAAATTATGCTTCTAGAATACAAAAGCACATCTGTTCTTACCCTGAATCTTAACCACATAGATGCAGCTGTCGTCTGCAGGCATCAGAACCTCCACAGAGAGGAGATCACTCTTCTCACTGCTAATGTCATTACTGGCAACACAGTAATAGTCATTGTCTTTTTCCACCGAGCTGCAATCGAGGCTCATGTCTGACGAGTGGCACAGCAGGAGGTCCTCGAGGTACCAGGCGTAACGAATGCCAGTGCCCCTTTTGCTCCCACAGCGCACAGTCACTGACTTCCCCCAACATGTCGACCTGTCCGCCAGAGAGCTCAAAGGCCAAAGCCTGGGTTTAGATACTGGAACTGACACAAAGAAAGCAAGTGAAACATTAAAATCAATCAGACTGGTTCAGCAAATGTCCAAATGCAGCTCATAAATGCTTACTGATACTGTCATAATGATGCACTTTTTCCAAGCTATGCATTGCAATGTATATAATTATTCTTACCGTCAGTGATAACCACGGTAACTGAAGTCATGATGTCAGCATACATTTTGTCAACGCCAACCCAGTACACTCCACTGTCATCAAACTGGAGATTTGTGACTTTCACAAACAGCTTTCTTCCTGCATCTACGATAAGAGACTTGTGTTTGGTTTTACTCTCTGAATCCGCCAAAATCTCACAAGCGTTTCTGGTATCTCCTCGACACCAGTACTTCTTNACATTACTGAATTATTTATTTGGCTCCTCGTCTGTCCTTCTGATCATGTGAAGAATGCAAGCTTTATCTAATTCCCCCTCCCCTCCTCCCTGAGCGCATTCACTTGGGTCATACACTGGTCATCTTACTGCCAAAAGATCAATTTTATGATGTTTGTTGCCCAGTAAACAACTTCCTCTATTGCAGACATGAGGTCTTATGATAGCAGGGTTGTTAATTAGCTTGAGCACATACAATTCATGCCTTTGTGCAGTTTTCTTGTCTTCAGAGTCTCAGAAAAAGCAGGTGGTCAATACATGAGTAAATGAGACAAAGACATCATTTGTGCATTATCAAGACACCTGCACACAAATAATTAGGAACAGACATACATGTCCAACATCACATGAGCAGTTAATGTCCTACACAGATAATGATTTAAAAAAACAAAAATTACATAAATGTTTACATAGGTAAATGATAAAATGAGTAGATTGCGTGAGTAAATAATGAAACACAAAATGTATAATGCTAGGTGATCAAATACAGCATCACCACTAAATAGGAAGACAAACTTACTATGTAGATTAAACAGATATGGTCTCAACAAGGCAGAACGTTAAGACTTGTGTGTAATTTGTAATGACAAATAAAAAAAGGCTTCTGACAGTTACTTTATATTCAATGATGCTGATAATCTGAGTTTGTATTCGGGTATTTTGGACAATGTCAGATAAAATATTACAAAGAAACTATGGCTTTTGAGTTCCACTATACTTCTCGAAACATTGAGACTGAAAAACAAATAAATAAAGATGGTTAAACTTACAAATAGGAATGTATTTTAATATACAGTCATGGCAAAAATTATTAGACCACCCTTGTTTTCTTCAATATCTTCTTCATTTTAATGCCTGGTACCACTAAAGGTATGTTACCTGAAGAATGCAATGAACACAACAAAAACTGCAGCTGATTACACAATACTTTATGTCCTATTTGACATGCTTAAGCTTAATTGTATTCCCAGGGTATATAAGAGGCCATTTCATGTCATAAGCAGCACTGCACATGTAAAGGCCTAGAGTGGTTTCCTGCTTACATTCAAGCTGTAGCACAATTCAGAAGTTGTCAGTTCTCACATAATGCCTAAAACAAAAGAATTAAGAATCCACAAAGGCAGCCATCTTGGCACTCATCATTGGTATGAGTGAGAGAGAGGTAGCGAAAAAACTGAAGATCTCCAAAACAGTCATTCATTACACCAAGAAAAAACAAGTTCAACATGGTGCTACCAAATTGCTAGCGGATCGCGACAGGAAACGTCTTTCTACCCCGCAAGATGACCGTGCACTCATCTGTTCCTGTGTGAAGAATTGTCATCACCCCTCTAGGGACCTTAAAAATGAGTGGGCACTGTTGAGAAATGTGACTTGTTCGACAAGGACAGTTGGAAACCGACTTGTTGAAGCTGGTCTGAAGTCACACAGGGCATGGAAGAAGCCCTTCATCAACAAAAGGCAGAGGAAAGCCTGGTTACTCTTTGCTGGGGATCACAAGTGTTGGATTGTTGATGATTGGGCTAAGGTTCTCTTTAGTGATGAATCCAGTTTTCAGTTGATGCCCACTCCAGCCAACTTACTGTTTAGGAGGAAGTGTGGAGAAGCCTACAAACCAGACTGTCTTGGCCCTACAGTAAAACATGGGGGTGGATCAGTGACAAGCTGGGCTTGTTTCAGTTTGAGTGGAACAGGGCAAATGCGATTGTGTGAAGGGCGAATTAACCAGGTCATCACAGCACTTGTCTTGAAAACAGTCTTCTTCCTTCAGCTGGAAAACTCTTTCCTGCCTGGAATGACTGGATTTTCCAACAAGACAATGTCCCTTGACATATGATAAGGTCAGTTAAAGCCTGGATGGAGAACCAGAACATTCAAACCATGACTTGGCCTGCTCAATCACCAGATCTAAATCCAACTGAAAACCTGTGGAAAATTAATCGTAAAATGGAAAACCACAAGCCCAAAAACAAAGGAAATTTGTTTGAATTTGTGCAACAGGAATGGGCTGCTGTGACAGCAGAATAATGTCAGAAGCTGGTGGAGAGCATGCCAAGACACATGGCTGCAGTCATCAAAACCATGGTTATGCAATCAAGTACTTGCTCCTGTGTGTATTATGTGAGCAAAACATACAGAAAAGAAAACATGGAATGCATAAAGGGGCTATTTTTGGCAGTATAATGCCATAGCTATTNATCTATAACTTTAAAGAAATTGCAGTGATGATCATTTTGATAAATATTGCATGGGGCAATAAAACCACAAAACCAACATCACAAACACTGACACCTTCCAAAGAACTACCACTGTGAAACACAGGTCACTGAGGCAAATGACGATTCTGCCTGCAACGAACCTTCTTCCTCCTCTTGGCATATTTTTCGGTTCTTGTTTTTGTACATTTAAGAATTATGCACAGAATTACCAGCAGGGACGCAAAATAACTCCAGCGCAGCAATGAATACCAGAGTGGCAGCCCACTCCATGTCCTGAGAAACAAAAATGTGAGAGGCTGTCAGACAACAAACAGCTTTGATTTTAATCCATTTGGAAGGAATAAAAAGCAGCATATAGTCTAACCTGCTGAAAAACAGACTGTGATCAGTTTTATTGAGCTGTAGAGACTGGTTTCGTGTGTCAGAGCGGATGTTCTTGGTGGCTTGGCAGGTTTGCAGAGGTGTTGGTTGGACTGTGGTTGTCCTCATTCTGTCTGCGCAGTCATAAATAGGTTGGCCTGATGATTAATAAAAAAAAGTACACAGAAGTTCATAGTATTTTAAATATTCTCACTTGGAGTTCTTTAAAGTAGGATTTTATCACTTTGGTGTCTGAAATATAATAAATTGGGAAAGATTTTTTTTTGCAGAGAAACTGAACAATTCTAGTAAAAACTGATGCACTGCATGTTTCCTAGGTCCAATAAAGTTGCCAGTAGGAGTCACTCAAGTAAAACCTAACACACACGGACTTTAATCCATTGAATAAGTAATGTAGTATGCAGCTACACCATTCATACAATCATAAAATATTATTCATGTGAGTAGGTATATCAATAATTATTCGTTTACAACATCACTATTGATATTTTTCTGCAGCTAATAGATGTTGTTGTGATTTACAGTTTTTCTCCTTTTATCGCTTTTCAACATAAGATCATGGTCAATTTAATTCAAAAATATGTATAAAAATATAAAACAAGTTTTCACCCGCTTTATGTTGACTTATCCAATTCAACACAGGAGCAGCCAAGTGGTGCTAAAACTCATACAATTAGTGAAATAGAGATCATGTGAGTGAGTGTTAATACACCTGTACCTGGGAGGTCCAGTCACTGGTGATTCAGTACTCCTGGCTACAACTATGTCGTACCTCCTTCTTGACATAAACTTTGTGAAAGGCTATAAATCTGGAGCATACCTTTAAGTGCCTGTATACAAGCACATGAAAGGTCTTGTTCATATCAATGCATTTTGGTTTCACTTCAAACCACAGAAAGTGATTTTTGGTAGCGCAAACCACCTTAATGTACATGAACTTTGATACATAAAGGATAAAGCAGGGTTATTGTAAGATATTGTGATGTTTTATTCTGGGATGTATAAAGATGACACTTATATCTAAAAAATGCTAATGTGTATTTATTGTGTTAGTAGTCAGTATGCAATGTTGTACTATGATGTGACATGATGTATGATTTCTTTTGTGATTAAAAGTGCACATATTATGATGCGTATTGAATAAAGAAAAATATTCTAAACATAGGCGTAGTAGAAATTATACTTACAGGATGCACAAGCGCATCTGTTCTTACCCTGAATCTTAACCACATAGATGCAGCTGTCGTCTGCAGGCATCAGAACCTCCACAGAGATGAGATCACTCTTCTCACTGCTAATGTCATTACTGGCAACACAGTAATAGTCATTGTCTTTTTCCACCGAGCTGCAATCGAGGCTCAAGTCTGACGAGTGGCACAGCAGGAGGTCCTCGAGGTACCAGACGTAACGAATGCCAGTGCCCCTTTTGCTTCCACAGCGCACAGTCACTGACTTCCCCCAACATGTCGACCTGTCCGCCAGAGAGCTCAAAGGCCAAAGCCTGGGTTTAGATACTGGAACTGACACAAAGAAAGCAAGTGACACATTAAAATCAATCAGACTGGTTCAGCAAATGTCCAAATGCAGCTCATATGTTTGCTGATACTGTCGTAAACATTTTCCAAGCTATGCATTGCAATGTATGTAATTATTCTTACCGTCAGTGATAACCACGGTAACTGAAGTCATGATGTCAGCAAAGATTTTGTCAATCCCAACCCAGTACACTCCACTGTCATCAAACTGGAGATTTGTGACTTTCACAAACAGTCCTTTTCTTCCTGCATCCACTATAAGAGACCTGTGTTTGTTTTTGCTCTCTGAATCCATCAAAATCTCACAAGCGTTTCTGGTATCTCCTCGACACCAGTACTTCTTGCTGTACAGGAACTCGTTGGCATACTTGCAGATCAGGATGAATTCACCTCCAATATATGCTGTGATCTTCTTTTTGTCACACTGAAGCTGAAGACTTGCTGAAAGACAAGTGAAGTGTAATTATTAGAAATAAGAAAAATGCATGTTTTAGGTTGATTGTTTGTGTATTCAATTTAAAACAGGTTCTAATTGTTACTTTTCCCTAATATTTTGTATTAATTTAGTTAAAATGCAAAAAAAAAAAAAGAGCAATCAATCTAGATTGAAAGTGAAAGTAAGTCTCAGAACAACTCATATATACATGTGAATAATAACATTTAATCTGTAAATACTTTAGATGGATGTTTACTTATTTTTTTTTCTGTGTCTGGTATGTTCCTACATAAAACGGTTTGTTTTTATTGATAAAAAAATAATATATATATATAGAGAGAGCACTATTCTAGGATAAGGAAATAAACCAGGGAATAAAAGTCTACATAAATGCATCCAAATATTTTGCACATATAAAGAGTCATATGCTAATTTACCATAATGTACATCCAAAGTATTTTTTGTGCATAATGATTACCCAAGCATTATTTTATTATTATTTTAAGAAAGTATTACCACTGTCAATATTTAAGTTATTATTGACATAGGGGGTTTCTTCCAAAATCCATTTCAAACTTTGAAACTCTGATTTTGTATATCAAATGCTGACTTTTGCTTTAAATTTTTGGTTCGAAATTAAAGGGGAGGGGGGAAAAAAAGCATGATAAGAGAACATTATAATTGTTTACATAGGATTAAAGATAGACTCTTAGATTTTCAGTCATATATAAAGTTAGAAGATAAAGTAAAGTTGAGATAAATCATGTAGTATTAGACAGCTGGCTGGGTATTTAAATAGATATTTGAAAAAATATAGTCAGATTAAATGGATTATTATTATACATTACTTTTTTATTCACAAAAACTTACATGAATAACCATTTGAGAATTTAATACTAAGCAAAAATGTGATGATCATAATAGAAGTTGTAAACTACAGTTTACTCACCATGTAAAAGAAAAAGCAGACACAGTGTCTTCATCTTGACGAGAAAAGTTGCAGTGGGACATCTTCTGAGCAACACCAACACTCAGGAAGCTGTGGTCACCACAGTCCACCTCTACAGCTTCCTGTAGGTGCTCCGCATGTTACATCACTACTGTTTTTATGTTGCATCTGTAATATTGCAGATGTTTGCATCTCTAGTTTAAGTTTTAATCCATTCATTTTCCAGTCATTAATGGCATTTCGATTAGTAGTGAAGTTGCATTTACCATTAAGCTTTATGTAACTTTATGAGAGTTGCGCAAACAACTGTCTCCTTAGATGAATATAACTTGTTGCATTTTTATACTAAACAAAAAAGAATGATTCTGATTATTGATAGAGGTTTAAAGCTCACTCACTATGAAAAATCAACATCAGACACTGTCTTCATTTTGAAATGAAAGGTCGCAATGTGAAATCTTAAGAACAACCACCAACACTCAGGAAGCTGCAGAGGTGATCACAGCGTCCTGTAAGTGCTGCAGGTTACATTATTGCTTTTACTTGCTGTTATGCCTTAAACACACTTCTGACATACTGCAACAATTAGCCATATATTGATTACATGTTGTATGATTTCAAAAACCCCTTGAAATATATAGATTTTCATAACTGGCCAAACTGCATTTTTAAAATGGCAACACATCCTAGTATGACCTCCTCTGACTGTCATTTCACTGGCTCACCAACTGTCTTTTTTTTCTTGCAACATCAGTCACTAATAATAAAAAAAAAAAAGGAAGGTTTGGATATATCCTGTAAATCACTGTACCACTGTTCCTCTTTATGTTGGTTTACAACAAAGCCACTAGATGTCACTAGATTACTGACGTGGCATGCAACACCTGGTAAACACCGCAATGCTTTTTGGGACTCTCTTTGTCATATAACATCTGAGAAACGATATTCATTTAAGTGTAACCCATGCAGAATTGGTAACTTCTTCACATATGAGCTGCTTGTCAACTGCTTTGGTAAGTATGCTTCATGGTTTTTATTCATTTTCTTATTCATACTAAGCTATATGTATATATATATAATAAAGGGAAGTATTGCATGGGTGACTTATTGCCACAGTTCCTTTAAACAGAGCTCCTCCCACTGCTCTTTAAAGCCGACTAGGTGAAACTAGAAATGGAGCTTCATATCGATTAAACAAATTACATTAAGTTGATGGAGTTTAAGTTTTAGAACAAATTTGTGTGACACTGTTTTGTCTAAAATGCTACAAAAACAAAAAAACAAAAACAACAATTGCTAGTGTGGACATAAGTCAGACAATGAAGACCTTCCAGAGAATAGAGCAGGTAAGTGCTGACAGAGTAAGTGAGGCTGAGTATATCAGGATTTGCAGGATTCTCAGACTCTGCTCACCACTCCTTCTGCCTCAGCCTCCATCCCTACACTTATCCCTCCTCCACTCCTCTTGTGTGTCCTGAATGTTGTCCAACAGGCTAGACTGCCTGCACTGCCTGCAACCGACTTTGGATAGGATCAGCTGTTTGTGTCTGCTTACATGCGTAAATGTGTGGCCCACTGTTTTTGTGGGTGTTTCCCTGACGTTCCCTCCGCAACACTTTCACGCAATCAAACACCCGAGTGACTTTAGGACCCAGTGAGAGACACCCTGGGGGCGCGGCAATATTTTTAATCTGACCACAGAACCTGTTAGCTTACTCTTGCTTCCTCTAAGACAAATCAGTCGTTCCCTCACAATAGTTCCTTGATGTGAGAGTAGCAATAGAGAAGTGCTCTGAGTAACAGCAGCAGCAGAAGTGCCACAGCCCTGGACCTAAGCCGCGACAACTCAACTCCATGACCTGTGGACAAGGACCTTTGTGTCCTGACATGCCTGTGAAAGGTGTCCAATCCCAGGCAGTGTACAGCCAGCAATGGAGCAGCAGGCCTGGATACTGAGGAGCTTCCTGGCTCAGCTGGAGAGACAGGAGGCTGTTGACAAGGAGGCACCGAGTGGCATTGCCGGGGAGTTTGCGGTAAGTCAACTGTCATGTTCCTTTCTTTAAAGTACCGTCTTGAGCAGCTTAGTGGGTGAAGTCTCTACACAGACGGCACTTCCCCTGTGACTTTCATTATCACATGATCACAAACCATGTAAAAGTTATTAACTTTGTTTATGCCGAATGGTTTGACAGTAAGTGGAGTGAAAGTAAAAGCTCACAGTGTTCCAGATTTCCAGATTTTTACAGAAACCATTATGTTCAGGGAAGTACCACACTGCTACTGTATTAACGCCATTTTTATGCTTCCTCTTCTTTGCACTGATGCTTGTCAATAAGGGTGCATCAACGAGGAAGATTTATAGGCAAATGCAGAACCATTTATCAACAAAGACACACACACACACACACACACACGTTCATCAGAAGCATTGAGTCCAATGATGACATCATCTATGGGTTGCTGCCATGGTGATGAGTGACATGCCAGTGCCTAAGGACAGCAGCATGTGCTTCAAATGCAGCCCTCCCGCTGTCATACTGCTGCCACCACAAGCACTGCAGAGGAAGGGGTCTATTGCATCACTTCCTCTACGGACAAAAAGTGCTCTGTGGTGTTCGAAGTGCAGATGGTCCGCGAGGCCTTTAACAGACTTTTTGGAACTGTGAGAACTGGCCTCTGAACAAAAAGGCCAGTGTCTCAACAACCAAAGGCATGAGTTTAGCTTGTGTCAGACCTTCTGAGTCAATTTTAGGCTGGAAATCCTTTCAGTTTATGAGGCATCATGTCAGCTTCAAGTTAAATGAGTCATAGAGTCTCCATCTGAGATTGAATCACATACAAAAATGACCACGTATGACCGTTATGAGATGCAATTTGCCGGCCATTCGCCCCATCTTGTTTTCCTGACACAACTACAGTGCCTATAGAAGGATTCACCCCTCCTGTTTTTCTCTTTTGCTGCTTTCAGCATTGAATCATGGTTAATTTTAGCTTTCTTGACAAGAATTTACAAAAACTGTACTTTTTCCATATCAAAATGAAAACATATTTCTACAAAGAAATGTCAAATAATTAAAGTTATAGAATGTAAACCAAGTAACTGCACAAGTGTTCACCCCCTTTAAGTCTGTATTTAGTAGATGCACCTCGGGCTACAATACAGCACTGAGTCTGTGTGGATCGGTCTCGATCAGCCTTGCACATCTGGGCAGTGCAATTTTACACCATTCTTCTATGCAAACCTGTTCAAGCTCTGTCAGGTTGCACGGGGACTGCGAGTGAACAGGCTTTCTCAAGACCAGCAACAAATTCTCGGTTAGACTGAGGTTGGGGCTCTGACTTCAGAACATTAACCGAGCTGTCTTTAAACCATTTCTCTGTAGCTTTGGCTGTTTGCTTCAGGTCATTATCTTGCTTGCAAATCTTCTCCGAAGTCAAAGTTCTGTTCTTTTGCAGTCTGCATCAGGTTGTCCTCCAGGATTTAACTATACTACATTGTATTATTTTTTATCTATCTCTACCATTACAAGCCTACCATGGTCTGTTATCAAGAAGCATCCCCGTATCATGATGCTGCCACCACCATGCTTCACCCTAGGCATTGTGTGTGTTTTGTGACGATGTGCCAAAAAGCTCAATTTTGATCTCATCAGACCAAAGAACCCTCTTCCAGTCGACTTCGAAACCTTCCACATGCCTTCTAGCGAACTGCAGTTGAGACTTAATATGAGCTACTTTCAACAGTGGCTCAACAGTTAGTATGGAGATAAACATAAAGTCTCTGACACAATTTCAACAAGACAGAACATTAAGACTTCTTTGTATGGGCATCACACAGAAACATTCAAAAAGTAGCTATTTATCAGTAGTGTAGGATTGGCCTCAAAAGAGTTGTGTGATACACAGTAACCAAAAAGTCAGCTGACATCTACACATCACCAAGAAATTATGACAAAAATGCAGTGAAGTAGGTTTACATTTCTTTTGTGTTTTTCAGAGGTTGAAAAGTCAGTCAACAAAGTACCGCACTGACAAGACCTACCCCACCAAGGCAGCAGAAAAGCAGGAAAACATCAAGAAGAACCGATACAAGGACATTCTTCCCTGTAAGCTTTGCTCAGTGCACATTTGTGTAAATTGCTGTTCTGCATTAAACGGCAACAATAATCTCAGAGTCTACATTTAGGCAGCTTAGAAAATGTCACATACAATATCTGTAAGAGACGGACTTTTTCAGTTCCACCATATTGCTCGAAACATTAGTACTGAAAATAGTGGGCTTGCAATTAAACGGGTTGCATGATGTTAAAGGGCAGTAATGATCATAAATCATATTTTAGGTGTATGATACCCTCCAATGTGGAACTGATGACCTAAAAAAAAAAAACATGTTATGAACAGCATGTGGTGTTGCATTAGATTAGTATCATGATTCATACGTGACTACCAATCTTGACAAATCATATTTATTTGATCAAATTCATTTGATCAGCATTATTATTTTGTAAAAACAAAAAAAGCCAATGTTTTCACACACGTCATTGAACAATGTGGGCACTGGTACAATGATATATTTTGTACTACTAGTAATAATAGTATATACAAAATCTAATAATATATATCCATCTTGCTTTTATTCTTATTCTGTTTACTCGTTATTGTACCGCAAGGTTGTGAAAAGCTATAACACAATCAGGGGTTCAGAGTTGTGTGACATTCATACCTTGACTACATTTTTTTTTTCCCTTTAGTCGACCACAGCAGAGTAAAGCTCACTCTCACCACAGCTAAAAATGACACAGACTACATCAACGCCAGTTTCATCAAGGTAAACGCCCAGCTAGACTTCTTTTGTTCAAAACGCATCCTGAGAAAGTTTTGCAAAGGTCTAATAAAGTTTACAGCAGAATCTTTTTTTCTTTTCTTCCCAGAATGTTGTTAAAGGTAGAATAGCTTTCTCTGAAGACATGTTTGGTTATAATGTTGCAAGAACGTAATGTCCCATCATTTTTAAAGCATTTTTTTTTAAATGTTGCATTCAGAATGTTCTTCCTTTTTTATATTAAGTCCCACTGTATAACATTTGGGGAATATTTTATAAAAGAATGTCACCTCAAGAACATCCCTAAAACAAGACAAAATAATATCTTGAAAACATTTTTTTGAACATTGGTTTCTTCTTCCTTCATCATGTTAGCATAATCTGTGGCCCTGACACCGTCCTCCAAACATCCAGTTAAAATGTCATGTTTTACTTTTAACCTTTCAGGAACATCTTTTAAAATGATAAACAGCTTTTAATTGTTTACAATGTTTTCTTTAAAACATGATTACAATTTGGAGCTATTGTTAGCCAAAGTTTTGGGAACATATATATATAGCCACTGTGCAAATGTTATGAACATCCTCTGGCTCTTCAGAATAAGCTGTGTTTTGTGTACAGGGCGTGTCGGGTTCCAGGGCTTACATTGCTACTCAGGGTCCTCTGCCACACACAGTAGTGGACTTCTTGAGGATGCTTTGGGAATACAACATACAGGTACAGCTCAACTGTGGGCACAAGTTGATTCTAAACCCAGCCATGTTGTTCTCAAGACACACAGCATGCTTTAATATAAATATGCATTTCTACATACACTGAAATGTAGAACTGCCTCGCACAGAGTTAAAAATGTCTCCATGTTGTATTTTGGTACATTACATCTCTCATTATCTTATTTGACTCTAGGTCGTAGTGATGGCCTGTCGAGAATTTGAGATGGGAAAGGTAACGTTGTCTTTATATGCTATGTATATGCTTGTATATCATGTTTAGCTCAGTGTGGTTGCATAAACCACTTTGTTAGATAACTGTGTTGGTTTGATGTGCAGATTGAAGGCAGTTTCGCTGAGTTTGCATGTGGGAGTCAGAGTTTGTGAAATTTTACATTTAAAATGTGAACACCAAGGTGGTTTCTTTACTCTTATTTCTTTTTTTAGAAAAAGTGTGAGCTCTACTGGCCTCAGTACCAAAAGGAGTCATTTGTTTGTGAACCTTTTACAGTTTACTGTGTGAGTATTTTTATTCAAACAGTCACACTTCCCACTTTGACAAGTTCCTGGAACTGTTGTATGACATTTGCTGTAATTATAATTACATGCTACCTACACACACAAAACTATTACTATTATAAAATCAATTCACATTGTAGTATATCTTGTGTTTTTGTTTTTTTCAACAGGATTCTGAGGAAAAGAAAGGAGACTATCTGTCAAGGACATTAAGGTTGACTCATCGCAATGTAAGCAGTGTTTATACCCTGACTGTGAGAATAACTGTCGGGACAATTCAGCAAGGAGTTATCAGATGCTGTTTTGTTGACGGCTACAAAGACTGAAGGCAGTTGTTGAAATTTCATACTTGACATCTTTGAAACAGGTTTCAGTGATTTGTGTAAATCTTCAGCTTGCACAATAACGCATATGGTAGTAAAAGGTGCACTAAATGTATTCATCCGCTTTGGATGTTTGCAGTCTAGCCGAACTTTGAAGCAGCTTCACTATGTCAACTGGCCAGATCACGGTGTCCCAGACTCCATCCCTCCCATTCTGGACATGTTGCATGAGATGCGCTCCTATCAAGTCCATGATGACATCCCCATCTGTATCCACTGCAGGTCAGACATCCCTTTACAACTTGAAGGTACCCTGTGGTGTTCTTATAAACAAACAAAAGTTATGTCTATACTCTGTGTGTCTCACCTAAATGTGTTGAGCGTTTTTGTTTATTTATTTTTTCATCTTGAAAAGCTCTGCAGTGTACATTTAATTCTAAAGCTTAATTCTCTTTGAGAAAAGAAAAAATCTTGATCCTATTAAAACCGCAGGCAACAGGCCTGCACAGACAATAAATAGCTTCTTCAGTGATGACAACATCCATAGCAAATCTTGACTTGGCTTCCAAAACCACACAGATAAAGTCACAGCACAGAAAGGCCTTCGTAAAAGTCTTAAATGACCTCAGAAAGAGCGTTGATGTGAGTAATGCTTTTGTTACGGTCTTCACAAAAATGATCATGTCATACTTTTAGACTCATGAAAGTATTTAGTCTTCATTTCTGAAACGGTTTTCAACAGTTTTCACACTTTAACTGAGAGGCAGCTTTTTATTTGTCTGTGTTGGTAAACATGCCTCAAATACTTACTACACTCCATATGGTGTTCCACAGGGCACTATACCTGGTCAGCCAGGTCTCCCACCAAATATTAAAAAGCCATGTTGGTTCACAGCTCAATTATTTTCACAAGAAAGGCTGTAAAATTGTGACACATTTACATTTTTATGGGGTCTTTTTGGTTGCCGGACTGGTTATTCTTGAAACCTAGAAAATGATTCGCAGGTGTTTGGTTTTTTTGTTTCTTTTTTTTGCACGAACCCTGATCTAGACCTAACTAAGTTGTTCTGGTGCCAGGCAGAAATCTGGAAAAGACAAAAAAAACTAACTAAAAAAAAAAAAAAGAAAGAAAGAAAATAATTTGAAAAAAACATTTCACTTAATGCAGCTCTACCCTCTCTGTCCTCCGGCCCTCCTGTCAGAAAAGCTGCCATAGTCTGGTTAAATGTCCCAGTCTCCATCCTAAGGCCTCACACTGAACCATCACAGACTCAACTGCAATCACAGCTGCTTTAGTGTGTGAGCTCATGAGGGTTAAAAATGGTATTAAAGGGAAGAATGGAAGACCGTGACAGCACAGTTGGCTTGGAGACAGTATATTGCCATGATAGGTCTTATATAAAACCCATTGTTCACTAGGTCTTCTAATTCTCACATGTCCACTGAATGTATATTTCAGACTGTTTATCTGACAATGCCTAGGCTACCGCTGATGCACTTTGCTTGGTGCAAATCGTAGTTAGAAGCACAACCCACTGGAGCAAAGGGGTTTCAGAGCGCAGCAGTGCAGTAGTTGTGTTCTGTGTGAAAGGGTCATCATTCAGAAACTCTTGCTGATTTATGGACCAAAGAAAGAAATGAACGGATAGTCTTTAAATATTTTATGGGTCTCTAGACACACTGGGGACATGTAAGAATGTTTAAAAAGCTGTGAAAACTGTCCAAGTGAGTTTGGATTTTCATTCTGTGTTTGATGAGATGCTCAGTTCCTGTTTGGGACATTAGTGTTTTTGCATTTTAGCAAACTACCAAAAGTCAGGAAGGTCATGAACATCTGTGACTGAAAATCTAAACAAACTTGCAATAAATTCAGACAACAGCAAGCAGCCACATGCAGCTACCTACTCAGCAGATTGTAAAATTGCCTTTATTGTGATTACATTTTGCACTCTGGACCAACAAAGCTATTACACGTTTTGGTGTGAAACTGCATTGATCTTGTCCATATTCTCACTGTTCATGCTTCCAACTGGCCAAATTATTTAAACAACATGGCGCGTTTTCCTAACTGAGCAAACTTTCCTGGCTATGCAGATGATGTTTGACTCACTAGTACAAGCTCGACAGAAGACAGCTTTGTGAAAACAAGTTAACATCGTGGCCGAATCAAAGGCAGACATAGCTTTAAGGAGCTTTTTAACTAAACAGGTTCAGTCAGACACTAAAAGCTTTGAGACTGACATCATATGTTGAGACAAAGATTTTGAATCTCACATCGACTGTGTCACTAAGAACATTTTTACATAAATAATAAAAGTCAGTTTGTATCTACTGCTTTCTAAGAAGTCTTCATTCATTTGAACTAATACAATGCTCTTTTAACCAGAACTGCCAACAGACCTCAGGCTGTGCAGAGAATCTTAACCATCAAATCACATGTCGTTTTCTACTGATTTTCTTACCACTTCTGATTTTCTACTTGGTTTAACTGTATTTTAGAGCTGCTTTCAAAGTTGTATTTTTTAGACATTTTAAATACATTTTTTAATTGGACAAAGTATTAAAATTAAGTTCTTTATTACTGATATTACTTTAATTACTAGAGTGATATCTTTATTCTTCTTTTTCTTATTGTTCTTATTGTTTTGTTCTGGAACAGGTGCATAATACATTTCACTGTGTGTTATACTATGCATAATTGACTTTGTGATAAATAAAGAATCCTCGAATACTAGACATGGCAGCTGCAACAATGTATGAAACTTGCATTCAGTTATAATGTGTGAAAACTCTAAAGCAAGCAGAGATCACACAAAAGTTGCGCTTTTGGTTTTGATCGGCGAGTTGCTATAGGAACGAACTGCCTGTGGGCAGCGTGTACATGCCCCCCTGCATTAGGCCTTAGAGGCTTGGCCCCTCCTTCCTTTCTTCTAGACAGGAAATGTGTATAGGCGGTTAGCCCACTAGGCTTGAAAGTACGTGTGGGCATTTCCCCTCAGTTTTTCCAGCGCTTACACTATGGGTGATTTAAAACTCGCATTTACCTGTTATTAAAAATTCCACTTAGTCAGACTCAAAAATTGCATTCTGCATCAGACCAGACAGACAGCTGCATGCGTGTGTGCTCTGTGCTCGATTACAAGGGTTTGTTTTCATGAATAAGTGTGAAACTACTGATTTTTTGAGGGTGTGGAATTTAGGCACCAAGGGTGTAGAGAATATATCAGACGAAGGGTTTGCTGGAGGATGTTTAGCTCAGTTAGGAGACTTTGCTTTTATTGGAACCTACTCAATGCTCTATCTAGTAAGATTTAAAACAATTGTGTTTTGCAAATATGGATGAGGCACCCACTCAACTGTTTAGTCAAATACTTAATTTGCATATATACACATCATAATTATAGGCTATTTATAAGTTTAATGAAGTACACCTTTTCTTTAGGTTTTGCATCTGTGCTACCTGAAAATGTATGTCATAGTTTCTCGATGATTTTGCTGTACACATTATGTAACTATTGAAAGGCAGTAGTGAAATGTGGTATGAAAACATGCCACATCTTTTTGAGCGTGATGCGTAACAAATGGAATGTTGAGTCAGTGGCAGATCCAACCTACACGTCAGACCGCCACTGTACGTCTGAGGGAGTTCACCACGACACAGCTGCTGAAAAGGGCAGCAGTCAGTGACTTTTCACTTCACAAAACAAGTCGTGATTCATACTTTCAGGCTTCGAGCTTACCGTCTTGTATTCATAATCGCTTTTGTTTTTTTTACGCTGTTCTCACCAAGTTCAGTTATTCCACTGAGATAAGCCTTTTTAAGCTGATAAATCAAAGATCATGATTAGCATTAGTACTGGATGGGTGACATTTCAGCAGCATAGTACAATGAGTGCAAGGAAAAAGACAATCACAAAAGAATTCTAGCACTTTTCTATGCCTAATAATTGTAAATGTCATTGTACTTTGATGTCCTTGCTGATGATAAACTGGTCAAAATGTGTTTCCAGTGCTGGCTGTGGTAGAACAGGAGCCCTCTTGGCCATTGATTATACCTGGAATCTCCTCAAGAAACAGGTAAGATACTCACCTCTGGCACTTTCTGTACATTATTTTTCTCATGATATGTTATTTAACAGTAAAACATCCCATTTGTATTGTGCTGTTTGTGTGCTTGTTTATAGGCCATCACTTCAGACTTCAATGTCTACGACTTAGTTCAAACCATGAGAACCCAGAGGCCCTCTGTGGTTCAAACCAAGGTACTCGCTGTTGTCTTCTACACAAATATTCCAGTAAACAAAACCACATTTCAAGCTATTCTTAATGTCAGGTGTTTCCTTCTATCAAAGCTCTTCTGATGATTTGTGTCTCGTGCATCATGCCCCAGGGCCGTGTTACCTAACAGACCAGTTTTTTTTTGTTGTTGTGTTTAACCTCAGGAACAGTATGAGCTCGTCTACAGAACCATCAAGTTACTGTTTCAGAAACATTTGCAGTCCATGGATGCACAAATCTGCCAAAATGAGGTGAGCAACTACAGGAACACACCTTTGTGAAAGAGTTAAAGTAAACAGAGGAAAACACACAAGTGCACAACAACACAAACTGAGAAGCCTAACTGTGACGAGTAACACAAACAGTAGATGTGACAGGCTTTTTTGTGGTTTCACTTGCATTTTTAAAGAAAGCAGTCATGTTATCAGAGTGGAAAATCATCCGACTGCACATTGGGCTGAAGCCTGTGTCAGGAACACTTTTGCTCAATGTTTATTTACATCATTTATAATATTGTACTCACTTACTGTAAGCATTAGTCACATCAGGAAGAATTTAGAATTCTTGCACATAATGCATTAATGTGCAAATTGTCTTCATTAATTAAACCTCTTTAAACTGGCCAGGTGACAATGGTCCGGTCTGCTATCACACCTTCCATCACTGAAAGTGAGTTATGTGACCTGCACGAGGAGTTGGATTTGATGCCACAGTTCCAGCACCTGCTCGACGAGGAGAGGGATGTTCTACCACAGCACCTCACTCCTTTACCGTCTGCTTCAGAAAATTTAATTGCACAACAATGGCAACTACTCCAGACCCTTCCTGAGGATCTGGCCATGATCCAGGACCTCAGTGAGGGACTCTGGACCTCACCTAAACTGGTGGATACAAACCAAAGAGTCCCTGTAGACGAAGAGAGGATACCGGAGAGTAATGACACACCATCACGGAACCGTTCGCCTTCACCGGCTGTGGCAGCAGCCATTTGTCTGATGGTGGAGGACCCCTACTTTGACACTCCTATGAACTCCCCTTTGTCAGGGGAGGCACCTATGGAAGAAGACTTCAAACAATGGACAGTCAGTCCTGTCTTCAGCTCACCCTCATTGTTTCTGAATGACCACAGCCTGGAGCTCAACTCTACTGCCTCAGGTAAATGGTCATGCCGTGTATGTGTTAGTTTCGAGATAAGCAGCACAGACAACAATAGTACAACTTAGTTTTTATGCGGATTTTGCAGATACTATTAAAGCTCATACTGATGGGGAAAGGCCCCCTCCTCTACCTGAACGAACCCCAGAGTCCTATGTGCTGGCTGCGGATGAAGGTCAGTGCTGTCAGTGTTGATAAGTCTGGAATATGAGCCATCAGTAGAGCACATTCCTACGTCACATTTTCAGATCATACGGCGCAGATTTAAAAAAACAAAACAAAACAAATCATGTGTATATTTGTCTTTTGGTGCCCTTAGATCCCTTTGAAAGATTATCAGTTATCATTCCACCCAATGCTGCAGCTGAGGCTGTCAGGGAGTTGGGAGGTAAGAAAATTTTAAATGGAAAATATTATCTGAAACTATCAAATATTGTTTTCTGTTAGTGTCACTTCTCTGAAGATGGCCAACACCATGACTTTTCCAAATGTCTGCACTAAACAGCTGCTGTTATTTTATCAAAGGAGGATAGCAAACATCTATTTTTTGACCAAAATCTATCACAATATAATTATGTTTGAAAGCTGGCAATACTAAGTACATATAATGTCAAACCCTCATACTTGTTTCCATATTCATACAGGCAGCCCCCCATCACCTGTCCCCCCACTTCCAGAGCGAACCCCAGAATCATTTGAGTTGGCTGTTGATCAAGGTCACTAAACAACATGACAAATCTAAATGATTCAGCAAAAACAAAACTAAGTATGTTTATTTTAATATGTAATGGTGAAACTGATTATTCTTACCTTTCAGCTCCTGTGGAGCAAAAGTCAGCGGTCACGGCGGCAGTAAACCTGAGCAGAATAGGACTGTCTTCAGAATGGTCTGGTGACTCAAAGCCAGCTACATCTGAGGATGAAACGAAACCTTTTGTGAGGAGTAAGGTACTGTGAGAATAAATTCTCTTCACTGGCAGATGTATATACTCAGGTTTACACATGATTTGTGCACAAAAAGTCATTTATGGCAGTATTCAAAACAAAAATTACACTTTAGAAAAAAATCTGAAGGGCTAACTTAGGAATTAAAATGTTCTTTAAAACAAATAAATCAAGCAGTGTATGTAGCTGTTACTGTGCTGGCAGGGTTCATTATGGTACATATATGTCATAGGAACATAGCATTAGTGAAAACATGTTTTGCACCTGTGTCCTTTCATAAGTGACTTCCAGGACACTACTTACAGGAAGTGTATTCTTTTTTTCTCAATAGCCAATCAGTCTATAACACCTAGCAACTGAAATTAGCAACAATAATAAATATTAACAATATATATTATATGTACACATATATTCCATGAGGAGACATATCTGTAAATAATATACTGTTTTCATCAATACATGTTTTATTCTTGTTGTGAGTTTACACTTCTGAGAAATGTAATATAAATGAAAAAAACAGGAGTCTAACATCCTATGCAATATTAATATGGAAATAACAGACTAAAGCTGCCATATTGTGAATAATACATAAGGTTTCAGTGATGAAATGTGCCTCAGAAGGTGTGTGCTTACCTGGTGTCATGATGCAGTGAATCAAGGAACTGCTCTTAACTGACCTTAAATACCTCTAGACCAGGGGTGGCCAATCCTGGTCCTCGAGGGCCACAATCCTGCATGTTTTAGATGTTTTCCTTCTTCCAACACACCTGATTGAAATGATCAGGATCGTTATCAGGCTTCTGCAGAGCTTGATGATGAGCTGATCATTTGAATCAGGTGTGTTGGAATGTTTTGTCTCTCATCCACTGCTTCCAGGTGTTCTTGATAGGATCGTTCACACCTTAAGAGGTCGAGTCACATGATTCACACAACATGTGGGTGTTTGTTTACAACTGTCCTGATAGTCAGGATGAGGTGAGTCAAGGCTGAAAGGAAGTGTCTCCTGTCCTCTAGTAGTCAGTGTACTGATGGTTGTTGCCCTCCTGGGTTGTTAAGTGATTGCTCTGTTTAATCAATAGGTCTGTGCACTCCTCACTGCAATGGACTTCTTATATGACATTGCTCTGAATGTGGGGTCTTGAGGAAGGACAAGCGTGTGGCTAGTTTTTATTCCTAAGTTTCAAGTAGGAACAGAAGTGTTTTGTTGTTTTTTTTACTTTCAACAATTTCCCTGAGGTACCCTACCAAAGGGATCAATAAAATTATATCTAATCTATCTTTTGCCTTACAATTAAGTTAAATGGAAGTTTAAAAAAAGGAAAGAAAAAGAAAAACTTAAAGCCTCATAAATCATAATTATAATAATCATCATTACTTCTAATTTTTAGAGCATTTTTTAAAATCAAGGTTAGAAAGTGCTTTAGAAGGCAGGAAAATAAAAGAAGACATAAAATCATCAGAATGTAAAAGATAGATAAAAACATAACATTGTGTATAAAAAACAAGTGTCAGAAGAGGTAAAAACATTCAAAGAAATAAAAGACAGTTCAAAGGAAATAAAAACTAAAATAAATTCGGGAAAGGCTGTTTGATAAAAGTATGTTTTTAAGGAGAAACTTAACCCTATTCAGGACTTTTGGGGTCTTTTGGACATCGGGCCATTTGGTTTAAGTGACAAGTATTGTTTGTTTTATTTTTTAAGATTTTTTTAAATATAAAAAGAGGGACAATTGTCATGCATTTGGAAGCAAAAATATGTCAACTCATCAGAAAATTTATTTAACGTAGTATGAAAGTCAGTAATGAATAAAAAACAAATATTTGGCACATATTCTTTAAGACCTTCTACGTATGGCAACATGAAAGTTCTGAATAGGGTTAAAAGGGATCAGTGATGCAGCCAAAATGATTATCCTCATGATGTGGAAGCTCGAATGTTAGCTTTACACACCGATAACTAACCTGACTCTTCCATATGTAGCGTTTCTGAAACATTGCTGCAGATAACAGAAACACACTTTTCTTTCTTGCAGAGTCTGAGGGCACAAATGACCTTCACAGGTAAGATACTGATAATATATGAATTAACAAACAACAAGCCCAGCTAACGGAGTAGTAAATTATGGTAGGCCATTATTAAATTAGGAATTTCTTGACATCTTATTTAGACATTGATACATGTGTGATCTTTTCAATAGTGTTGTATTTTTGTGACAGCTCTACCACCACAAAAACATCTTGATCTCGCACCAAATACAACTTCAAACTTCCACAACTACTCTCTGCCACTGGACTCGCTGACTACTCCACAGCTACCACAAGGTAAGCACTAATCTGAAGTTGGAAATAGGACCTAACTTTAAGTTTTGCTTTAAAATTCTGCAATGCAACAAGTGTGTCCTAATAATACGTTTAAAGAAGCTGTTGATTATAATTGATTGTGCAGATGAGGACAGACTGACGCCTCCCATTCCAGAGAGAACCCCAGAATCCTTCATTCTCACCACAGAAGAGAGTTAGTAGATCATCAGCTGCTTATAACAAAGAAACAACTCTTTAGCTTGTACAGCAGTAGATGTTGTCGAAATGAAGCCCTAATCTGTGTGATTCTGCTCTTTTCAGTTCATGAGAAAAAACCCCTTTGCCCGCAGCCCTTAGAGACGCCACAGCCCTTGTCGAGGGTGGGAACGTCGTCTGAGTGGGATGGCGCCTGTCAGCCCAAGAAGTTCCTCGATGTTGTCATGAGCAGGAGCAGGGTAATGACGATCAGACAGGCCAAATTCCTTTTCATCAGTGATTAACATATGAAGCCATAAGTTTTCATTTCTCAGGACACTGACATTTTTTCCTTCAAATGTTTCCCTCAGAGTGTTCGAGCTAAAGGTTCAAGACAAGGTAAGTTCTCTAATCTCCTGAATGAACACACCCTGCTTTCACATTACTTGACCATTTAAAGATAAGATGAGCAAAATATGTGTTCATATATTTACTGTAATGAAGGAACGCATCACCTAGGGCTTGTTGCAGACAGTAGCTCTCTCTGGAACAATTCAGTTTTGATCCGCTAAACCCAATTTTTCCTGTGGATGGTGGTAGGGATATTGAAGCTTACAGTGCTTATAAAAAGTGTTCCCCCTTCTTGAATGTTTTCCTCTGTTATTGCTTTTCTATTGAATTTTTTTTTTAAAGAAATTACATAAAACAATCTTTTGTATCAAAGTGAAAAGCGATGTCTACAAAGTAATGTAAATTAATTCTAAACATAAAATGTAAAATAAGTGATTGCTCAAGTATTCTTCACCTTTAAGGTGAATTACCAAATGCAATACTTGTGTAGTCAGTTGGTGCTAGACACCGAGACACCCATGACTCCTCTGAAGGAGTTACAAGCTTTATTAGAGAATGGCAAAGAGAAAGAGAAAAAAGTTCAATTGAAGTCTTAGCGAGAGATTACCAGAAGGCCTATGAGAGCCTCTGAAGTCCACTGGAAGTAGGTTCTCTGGTTTATGGAGCGTTTTATCCATCAGACTCGATGCTATATTTGGTGGACACTAACCGCTGTACATTATTACCAACACACCGTTCCTACTGTTAAGCATGGTGGTGGCAGCATCATGATGTGGGGATGCTTCTTAGCAGCAGGCCCTGAATGGCTTGTAATGCTAAAATGAATGTAGCAAAGTATAAGGAAGTCTTGGAGGACAACTTGATGCAGTCTGCAAGAGAGCTGCCACTTGGGAGAAGATTTGTTTTCCGAGACAATGACCTGACGCATACAGCCAGAGCTACACAGAAATGGTTTAAAGACAACAAAGTGACCAAGTCACAGCCCAGAACTCAATCCAACTGAGACTGTGTGGCTGGATTTGTAAAGAGGTGTTCACTCACAATTCTCATGCAACCTGACAGTTTTGCAAAAAAGAAGGAAATAAAATTGCAGTGTCCAGATGTGCAATGCTGATTGAGACCTATTAACACATTCTTATTGTGGCCAAAGGTGCATCTACCAAACACTGACTTAAAGGGGATGAGTTGTCATTTTGAAATGAAAGAAATTTTTTATAAATATACACCAATGCCCAAAAGTAGAATCTAATTGGATTTATTGATGGTATATCTACACTATCCTGGAATGTATCAGTTTAGGTCAGTAACCAAGTGGCTTTATTGACTGTAATCCTCCACTTTATCACATTTTGTCATTGGTGGTGAGAGGTTGCATTGTGCTGTTTGTTGAGTACACACAGCAGCATGCTGGTTACTGTAGAAAGGAAATGTTGAAGTAATTATATTTACCACAGGGAGGCACCCTTTACCAAAGCAAGAGATAAAAGCTTGACTGGTAAAAAAACCAAGGTTTGCTGTTAATGATTTGTCTAAAAGACTGTTTCTATACTGGGGGTAGTTTATCATGGTGTTTCTTGTGCAGTATCCCTCAGTGCAGTCGTGCAGCTCGCTCCACCCCCTGTGGTCACGGCTGGAGGAGGAAGTGGTGAGTCGCTTCAGACATTAAAGGCAATGCACCCGACACAATAGCCTCTCTCACACACGCTGTCACTAATAGACACATGAATGCTTGTTGTCAAATCTATATAAGACTATATAATAGAGCTCATTTCTCTTGATCACAAACCCTCGATGCGACAAGTACATCAAGTCACAAACGGGTCATCATCGGGGCAATGTTAATCATTTTCATTTGCTTTCTGTTTCCGTGTTCATCAGCAGTGGAACAACATGAAGTGAACCACGGGCCCTCGCTGAACACTGAGATATCAGGAAACAAATCAGACAAAAGCAACGACAAGTGCATGTCGAGAACAAAGGTAGCACAAGAGCCACACACATCTTGTCGCTGGTTAAGGAAAATGTGATACATAAAAGGCTAAATTTGTGTTTGTCTTCTCTTTGTCCAGAGTCTGAAATTTTTTAGACACAAATCAAAACGTAAGTCAAGACAATTTAACATTCTGACAATAAAGGTACTGATATCTTCAAGAAAAGTAAAACTAATAAGTCGAAAATACATTCTCAGCTAAAACAGCACCGCCACCTCCTCCTGCTCAACCTGGAGCACCATCGCAGTCAAATAGTGCCTCATCTTCAGTGTTCAGATTTGGTAGGCCCACATATTAATATGACATTAATATATGACGCAAAATTACATGCAATATTCATAACACCATTTTCATCTTCCACAGGATTTGGGAACCGTTTTGGAAAACCAAAAGGCCCCAGGACTTATCCGGAGACCTGGCTCTGAGGCAGTCACTTCTCTCCAAATGTCACAAGTGAAGCTTCTCATGAAGGTCAAAATGATATGTTGCATTGCTCATGTGATCTTGTACACAGCAAGGACCGGAAAAAGCACTGAAAGCTGCCTCTCTTTGTCTCAGGAAGAACTAACAGTCAAAAGTAGCACAGTCACACACACAGCAGAGAACAAACAACAAGTGCCTTGTTACGTGCTCTGATCTGTTTTGTAGAATTTATGAACCGAGGCTGATTTTAATTACCGACCTGGGCCTCATCCAACAGCATGGACAGCCACCCAGACCCAGGACTTGAACATTTAAAACCTCAGGAGCCTCAGCCTCTTGAAAAATATTAGCTTGCAGAAGTGGACAGCCTGCAGAGAGAATGTTTTACACTTCTTGTTTTAATGCTCAAAGCAATGCTGTTAAACTTGGTGTACGAGGAATGTATTTAAATGTGTATGTCTGCCTTTGTGCTTTCGGAATAGGGAAAAAAAAACAAAAAAACGGGTATAGGATTGCTTGTACTTCTTCACCACGTCAGTTTTTTCTGTTATGAAGACAACAGACTTCACATCACTGTGTACCACGCGTTACATTTAGTTGCTGCAATCCACCTATATATTAAAAAGCATCAGCAGCACCTTGAGCTGATATCTTCAGGTACAAAGAATGTAATGTAAATCAAATATGCATATGATGCAATGGTACAGTTAAACTGTATAACATACACTGGTTACACATGAAATTATTTATTAAAAAATACTGAAATTTAATGCATTCGAATTGTGGTTTTTTTTCTGCTTAACAAGACTCAACCACATTAGTACCAGATTTCTACTGCCTATAACTTCCCAGCCAGGTGACTCACAAAAATCAATTAGAACTGTTTCATTAAAATGAACAGATTTCATTGGATCTGGAACACAGAGCATCACAACATGACGAAAGGCAGATACGACAGCACTGTGACCGTCACTTTGTCTCTACGTTTATTTAGTAAGTTAAGCCATATTTCTGACAAACAAAAATAGTCGTTCTCCTTCCTGAACAGGATCCATTATGTATGAAAGGGCATAATTTTCAAATACACTATGATGGTATATTTCCTTTTCTTCCAGGTGACATGCAAATGTAGAAACCAAAAGGCAACATTTTTAATTTTTAAAAAAATAAATAATAAAAAGCAGATACAAGACACACCAACTACGGCGGCTTGGACAGTTTCCGTTTTAACATCCTACTCATCAACAAATAAACTTTGCAGCTTTAAATGAGGCCAACCAGATACAGTACAAGGCACTAAGATGTAGTCAGTGGGAGAGCTCCAACATCATCACTTTTAGAAGACAACACGCAGGCCTCTATGAAATTCTATTGAACTGTAAATCTCAATTTAAATCTAATTTAAAAGACAGGATTTTGGCCAGACATTTTAGCGGATCACCTTTTATAATTTTACCTAAAGGAACAAGAGGGTTCCCTACATCTGAAATCACACAATTACACTCAGAAAAGTGGATACAAACACAGTAACCCTCTACGACGGTGCCTTTATCAACCTAGTGGCATTATCAGCTAAAACCAAAAAGGTGCAAATGATTTTTTTAATGAAATGAAGAATGTATGACAGCATCCACATATTCGCAGCAAAAACAACAACAACACAATATTTACATACCAGATTCTGGATAAATACTCCACACACACAGAAAAATTAAAAATTCAGACCGTTATTGCTAAGTGCAATAGCCGCAATTCCTTCGTCATTTAGAGGCACTCTCATAATTTGATCATAATCTTAATTACTCATCACCGGTTATAAACCTGCTAAGCTTAAGAAAATAAATAAAATATCAAAAACTGTATCAACAGTAAGAAAAGGGCCCTGTATAAAATAGCATTTAAATAAAGAACTGTCTAAACCACAACTTATAAAGCTGACAAATACGTTTAATTAGATAACCTTAAAAGTCTTTCATACGATTAGACTAGTCAGATTTATTATTCATTAGCCTATGTTTGGTGTGTGCGACCAATCCACAATCTCCAAAACGTGACAGAATTTGGATGCACATGACGAAGGCCTGGTGGCCCTTTGCAGACAACTGACAAAGCACTTAATCATACAGAATGCACAGTTTCCTCAGGATAATGTTCGTCTACTTGCCACCACCACTGAAACTAGTAAAGCAGTAATTAGATCTCCAAGTATGTAAGGAATCCTGCATTTGTGACTTCAGTTTCTCCATTAAATAAGCATAACAGCTGCACCTTCAACGTGAATTAAAAACTTGCCATACAGTAAGATCGGCAACTTCTAACGTCAGTCTAAAAATAATAGCTTCTTCACATCAAACACAGAGCTCCAGTTTTAGGTGCGACCAATATAAAATAAAATAAACTGTATTGTACAGTCTCATTAAACAGTATACTTTGGCTGGAAAAAAAAACAAAAAAACAAAAAAACAAAAAAAAAAATCATCTGGGAACATTTTCACCAACATTTAAAGATTTAAAAAGTTTGAAGAATAATTTAAGTTGAAAAACTTCCTGATTGACAAAGATGTCAGTTGTAGTCTAAAATTCCTGTACATACTTCCTCCCACAGTGTACAGAGAGAGAGAAGGGGGAAGACCTTTAGTCATTTAGGGAAATCTGCAGTGTGGCCACGAGCTTTTGGCAGGCTGGGCTCTTTTGAAGGGGTACATCCAGAGTGGACTGGAGCTAAGAAAAGGTGGGGATCGTGGTATGTTGCTGGGAGGTGAGCAGACTTGGTGGGCTGTGGAGGAGCTGGCTGAGGCTCCTGGGAAGGTGTTGCAGGCCTCTGGAACTCTGGCTCCTCGGTTTTGGCCACCCCGCCTTGGATGTTGTCTCCTTGCGGTCTTGCGCAGGGGGTTATGGTGGCATCGGGCCTGGCAGGGGAGGAGAAAGAGACTCGGCCCGAGGTGGGGCTCAGATCGTTGGGTTGCTGCTCTTCCTTCTTGTCTTCTGAATGGTATTGTTTGAGGCGGATGTGCCAGGCGAGGCTGCAGACTGCGGACACTGTCTTAAATTGGTGGATGACGTTCCTCGGGATAAAGTAAATGTCGTCGTCACAGAGCTGGACTCTGACGTAGCGAATGCCTTCCCTCCTCAGCTGGTTGAGCTTGGCGTCGTCTATCCACTGCACACACTGCACGACAGTATGATTTCATTTGCATGTTACTGCAGTAATTGTAGTATATTTATAAAAACAAAAAGGTGTGTGATATGGAAAACATCCTACTGTATTTTGCACAGACTACACTTGTTACCTGAGACACTGGAGGCTCATACAGATCCAGCTGCAGCCTCTGGACAACTTCATTGAAGTCTCCAGCATCGAAACACACTACATCTTTGGTTATTCGAGGTCGGTTATTCCTGGAAGAGATTACAAAAAAAAAGCATTGAACACACAGAGAAGTTACCTCCATTTTCTCATTTGCTATAACATAACAAACATTTGTGACTATTTATCAGAGATGCTGCAACCACAACACCTCGACTTAAGCATGCTAAAGGACATTCACCATTCTCCAAAGTGCACTGCCTTCAGTACGCCCACAGCAGCAGTGCTCTGCCAGTCAAAACTCTGGCCTACGTGATCAGCATGAGCCTTAGTCCGGTCCTCAAACAGAACCTCTCTGGGTTCGCTGGCCCTCGGCAGGTAGTGCAGATTTTTGATCTCATTCATGGATCTAGACAAAGAGATAGCAGAGGGACAAGAGGTTGGAACTTATGCTCACGTCACAAATCACAATCATTGCTCTCTAATATTTTCATGTCACTTTTTTTAAACCATCTTTTGGCATGGATCCGTCTTCAAGGTTGTACCTGCGCCGTTTGAAAGGAGACTTGGGCATGTCAGCAGTGGGCACCATTTGTTCTCCTGGTCGCACCCACATGATGGGCCCGTCGTCACTCTGAGAGCGACAGTCCAGCTTCAGGCTGGACAGGCTTCCCCATGGCAGCGTCATCTGTGGCGACATGCACAGACACAGATATTCACAAACAGAGCTGTGAGTTTGGTGTTCAGGAAAAAAATCACAAAGCCAGCTGAGAATGAGGATTCCACTTAACTTGATCATTTTGTTATGGCCTGTAAAACATATTCTGTATTTTTGCTAAAGCCTTTGGACAAGAGCTTATCCAAGAGTGTCATAGTAGTTAGGACTGCACTGTATGTTGTTTCAGCATTGAGTACAGTAATAGTAAAGCAAGTGGTGGGACAAATGAACTCAAACACATCATGGTACAACTGTTTTTTTTTTTCATGATGCAGTTCTCATTTTCCATTTTTGTTCTTTTTATCGACTAGAAAAGTCTGTCGGATATAATTTACTCTTGGATAAGCAGATTTTTAAAAAAAACTTTATTTACAAGACATTGACACGCAAGTTTCACATCTGCAAAGCAAAATGAGCAGGAACAAGAGGGAAACACTGAAAAGGATCATCTGGTTTTTTAAAAAAAAAGTCAGTTGTCAGTCTGCACACTTCATGGAATATTAATCACAATTTAGGCTTCTCACAATTAAATGAACATGATTGCGATATTGATGCTTAAAATGCTACACTTGTGGAAAATCAGTCAGATTCATCTGGGATAAATTCGACGCTGGTACGCCTTACTTCACTCTTGTCAAACTAATTGCAAGTGAGGTGTTTTGGAACATTGGTAAATTGTTGGGTCTGGCGACAAACAGATGTTCAGCAAGTTGTGTGTTTTGGGTACAATTAATTTATATTTTGTGTTGCAGAAATGAGTTCTGGTGAAGAGGAGCCTTACTTTAGTTGTATTTCAAAGCAGACGTGAACATTATTTGGCATGTGATACAATATAGAAGTGAAACCAGTGCTCTGTTTACTAAGGTGTTCAAGTTATTTCTATACAGATGCACTCCCCTACACAATCTTTAGAATCAGATCTTTTCAAATCATCCCTTGAAAATTCATGTATTTTTTCACATCGCAGAAAAACAAAATATCACAATGTCAGTTTTTTTTCCCAATATTATGCAGCCCTTGTGCTAATATTAAAATCAGATCACTATCTTGGTGATGTAACTGATTAAAAACTTAATTAAAAGTCACCACGTAATGACAAAGCAATGTGATTTAGTTTAGATTAAGATTAATGCGATAAAAAGTGCAACAGATTGAGCAGATGTTTTAACACCAATATATCATCAGCGACATGCCAGCACTAGATTGATTACAGAGCGCTGGACTTTTTAAATGAGCTTCCTGAGAGGAACATGCTGCATTCATCACACACAGTGCAACGCTGGCTTGACGTCTGGAGGAAGATGCAAAGGTTTTACAACCCAGACATGAAACACTTGGACAACTACATTATATTTGGCTGTTCCTGTTCTTCATTCTCTGTGCTTTGGCATGTTTTAATTGGAAATACAATAACTGACACGATGTTAAAGAGGAAAGTTTCAACTTTATGATGAGTCACACTTAGGGCCCAACAGGTTCACAAGTAACTGGTCAGACACGAATGAAGTCAGACAAAACCATCCTATTTATTATTATGCAGACAGCTGGCTGAAATATCTGTAACATATTTATAGTATTTCTGGTGATGCTTCCTGCGGTCTTCACTGCAGCCACCTTCTGTTGTGCAACATAATGACAAGATGTCCCTGAGTTTTGATTCATTTGTATGATATTGTGTATTTCTGCATTGATCCTGTTGCTTCTGTTCACAATGTGGGGCAACTCAGTGGCCTCTTGGTTAAGAGCACAACTCCGAGGCAAATAATGTCCTTGTTTTGTTTCATTTGTTGATTTGCACATATCAAAATTTTAAAAAGACACAATCTATAATTTGCATGGGAAATTGAAGGATAACATCCTAAATTCTATTAATTTCCCATCCATCTCTCTACTGCACTCTTCCATGAAAGGAAAAAATACTGCAACAAAAATAATGTTTAAAATAAATGTGCCATATGTGTCCACTCCATAAATAAAGCACAACCATGTTTGACTGAGGAGAACGTTGCTTCGGGTTATCAGCCGTTTATTTCCTTCTCTACACTTCCCCTTTTGATCATATTTTTGTATCAGGTCACAGAGCTTTGTTTCAGAACTCCACTTTTCTCTCTCATAGGTTTTGTGAACGCCTACCTGCCTCTCTGTTTCTGAGCATTAACAGGGGTTTGCATCTTGTGTCCTTGCTGTGTAGTCAGATCTTTTTGCACCATACTAATGATGTTTTAGTCATCCATAAGACTTACCACGAATTATCCAGCTACATTTGGCTCATTACTATATTCTTCCTATATCCTTCTATTGACTGACAATTCCACCTCAGTTAACGCTGACCCACATGTGAACTCTATTGTGCAGGAACTGAGTAAAATTACACACGACTGCCCAAGAATCATTTAGTAGCTGAATGTCCGAGTAATTTGGAGCCCTTGAAATTTGAACATTATGTGTTAAATGGGCTACAACTGAGACAGTTCTTTTCATACTGACGTTGAACAACCTAAGTTAAACTTGAGACTTGGCACTTTAATGGAAGATCCATAATTTTATTTCATGCTAAGTTTGGTGAGGCATATGAAAAGCAGAACAAAAAATGTGCACCCATCTTAATACTCATAGTCTGAACTGTAAACGTGCTTTGACTGCAGGTCTTTAACATATTGTTCCTGCTATGAGGGACATGGTGTGGTTTAGTAAACAAAGCCGGGCTCCAGGCTTGAAGTTACAAAACTTCTGTGTTTGAGTGAGCTTGTCAGACAACAGACTTTAAGGTCATAAAAATACATCTTTCCCTCACCTTGAGAAATGGTGACTCTTCCAGCATGTCCAGGAACTCTGGGAAATAGTCTCCGACTTCCTCGTCCACAGCTCCCACCAGACTGATCTGCCTCATGGGTCCGGCTCGGTAAGTTCCTGAACAATAAGTCCGGTTCACCTAAGATAGAAGAAACTGTAAATGTTATTCACTGTGCATATGTGCAATACTACATTCAAACTGTATACATATTCATTCTGTTCAATTCAATATGCATCATTGGCATGAATATCATGTTCACAATATTTCCATGATATTAATAATGGTCGAACTGTACTAATTGTGTGTGTGTATGACACAGATGTATAAAAGGCTATTTAAAGATATTTGTCATATTTAGTGATGCTATAATTACGCGTCCCTCAGCTTGTGATACCTGGTTACATTTAGTGTAGCTAGTTAAGCTGCACATCTCTTGACTAACAAAATCTGTTTGGAAATGTTTAGGATTATTAAGTTATATATTATTTTGTTGCATTTTAAAAGAAAGTGCATCTCCATCTCTACCTCAACTGTTGTGCAAGGACCACAGACTCTTTGTTGGGTAGCCACGACTTCTTGTGTCGTCCTTTATTAATGGCTGGACTGTGGTCACTGAGTCTGTATTTGGTCTGAATCTGTCTCTGCTTTGCATCTCTGACAGTACAGAGACATGCTGCTAATCTACATAGAGAGTTTAGGGCCAGACAGCAATGAAGTTAGTTTTGACTTTTGATTTGATTCCTCCAGTGTTGCAGATGAGCATCTTTTGTTTATGTAATAATCTGCTGAACTGATCAGCAGTTGGAGAGCAGCGCTGGTCTGAGGTTAATCAGTGTTGTCTGATCATTCAGTCTCAGCTGACAGAACAAACTTTTTTGGGGGTTCAGCTCCTGTGTTTATAGCATCTTAAATCAATGAATAACAGGCAAACTCTGCCTTGCATGCATTGCTTGGGGTTTTACTTTGGATGTTTACTATGGATTTTCAGAATTTTGCATGCAGGACGTCAGCGAGATGCTTGTCCCATTTAGTGTGGTCCTGATGACTGAGAGGACCCCAAATGTCTTTACCATAGAGGGTGATTGGTAGAACTATCCTGTCAAAATATTTTAGTCCAAATTCTAATTGGTATGTCCATTTTGTAAACTTTTTTCTAACTGGAGAAAATACTCTTTATTTCTCTATCAGACCAAAGTTACCCAAGGCAATGAGTCCTTGGTAATCAGAACACAAAGTGGGGCTAGATGGGTGTTTCCTAATTCAAACTATACACCATATACTAACTATCTTAGTTTATTGCTTTTGTAGTTAATATACAAAAGAAAACTAATCAGTATTATCATTTTTAGTGTGCATACTGACTGTTTTGCACATACCTAGTTCTGTCTCTTTAGCAGTCTGATTATGCATAGATTTAGTAGTGAGGAAACAACGCTCATCATTTGTTCCACTGTAGTAGGTATATCCACAAGATCTGATTGTTATTGCTATAGCAAATCTTTCTCACGTCCTTGACTGGCATTGTCATCACTGCTCATTGGAGCTGCAAAACAAAATTGAAATAGGAGGTGGGTGGTATGTAAATTCCGATTTTATTTGACATGATCTGACATGATCCTTTAAGCTGGGGGTAGAATTTGCACTTCAGCAGGCTAATGGTTCGAAGAAGGTACACAACCTTGTTACTCTGTGTGCAAAATCCTTCTCACCCTACACCTAACAGCAAGCACAAAATAGGCATTAATATTCAAAGTATGGGAAAATCCATACACAGCCTCACTAATGGATGAATGAATCTGCATCACATTATCATCCTGGTGTGACTACAACACGTTCTCCTTCTACAGTGTTGTTCATTACAGCACCAGGAAAACACTTGGACTGCAACACTGTTGTTTACAATCCAATTCCATGCAGTTTAACGCACTGACCTAGTAAAGTGCAGTAAATACAACAGAGCATTTTAGTGCAATCATTCTGCTCTCAAAGCATTTATTTATGATCGGGATTCTCCAGTGGTGAAATAATCAGAGCAGGGCTGCATTTCCCTGCATAAGCAGAGAGCTGCTGAACTCTCTGCAGATGTAGCGCCAACATATGCACACTGACTCACTCCTCCTCTCTGCAATCTTTGTGAGCCAGTCAGAGCAGATATGTGCAGCAACGTCATGGAACAGAAGCGAATCCATTAGATCCCTCTAAGAACGGGGACAACTTGGCACCGGCACAATTTTTTTATTTTTTTCCCCCCACACAGCGTACCTTAGACACAGTCAGCTACTGGAGGGAAAACATGGACTGCACCTCATTCAAGACTCTGGTTTTCCCTCAGCTTGCTGTGATAGTCTGCAATATTGTCTGAGCATATACAGGTGGAAACTTACAGTATGTTTAAAACTCAGAGGTCTGTTGTTTTCATTTGACACACCAACTCATCCATTACTGTAAAATGATCTGATTTACAAGTTATTTTAGTTTCTGAATAAAATCAGTTATGTTCTGTATGTACCCTGCCTTCGCCCTAAGTCGGCTGGGATAGGCTCCAGCCCCCCCGCGACCCTCGTGAGGATTAAGCGGTGTATAGATAATGGATGGATGGATGGATGTTCTGTATGTGTAGCATATAAAGGTATGTAAAATCCATATTCTTTAAGTTTAGACTTCCTCTTCTAAAAACTCTTCAGTATGAATCCATGTTGCCTCTTGCATTTTAACACGGGATGTGACGGACAGCCTATGACCTTTCCACAATAAGATCTGGGTAATCACACACCACTGCACTCTTGTCTTCTTCTGCTTTCTGAACACATATTGAACAACAGGTGCTCTGATTACAACAATGGTCATTTGGTTGATAACTGATCCATCGCTTAAGTCATTAAACAAACTAAAAAACTACCTCCCAAACATTTCCTTAGACTAGTGTGAAAATAAAGTAAAATGAATCTCTTTGGTTTTAGGGACTGTTTGTTAACAAGACAAGCAATCTGAGAATGTCTAGAATGAACTTCAGTTGCAACTAACGATTATTTTTGTCATTGTCGATTAGTCTGTTCATTATTATTTTTGATTAATTGCTGTTTAGTCTCCAGAAGCCCAACATCACCTCCTCAAATCTCTTGATTTTTCTGCTAAGCATAGATATTTAGTGTGCTGGTACAGAGGAGTTAAAAAAAAACAAAAAATATTCAAATTAAAAAAGGTTGAATTAGAGGACTTCAATTTTCTTCCCCTAAAAAAACCTTCTTGACTACTGATTATTAATTGCAACTCTAGACTGAAAAAAATCCACTAAACGATGCTATACTTCATGTATTTCACAGATGAACTCAAAATAATTATTGCAGCCCGGTTTTAAATCAAATTCAGTCTGATCAAGAACAACCAAACAAGCAGACAATCTAACCACTTCTCTCACAAAAAACAGAGCAGGATTAAGCTTGAAACCTTTGGTAAGGTCGGGTGGACAGACCCTTTGAGGGCCTTTTCACATACCTGAGAGTGAAAGTTGGCAATAGTGGTGGTCTCAATGTCTTTCTTGCCCAGTATCTCCATTTTGACTGGTGTGTTGGGGAAGTTGAAGGCAAAGTAGTCCAGGAAGTCAGGCAGGTATGCAGCCGCTCTGTGCACCACCGCCAAGGCGTAGGAGGCTGCACCTCGAGGCTTCTCAGCAAAGGCCAGCTCCAGGAACTCCTGGGCGAAGCACTCCATCTCGGCCGGGCTGAGACAGGCCAACTCATCAGCATAAGCATGCAGAACCAATCCCCCGCCATTGGCTTGTCTCTCCTCATGTATGAAGCGTCCATAGCAGGTCCCTGTCTGGAGGCAGGAGCTGCGGATGTAGTGGTCTTGATGGGAGAGGAAGGGGACGTGACCCTGCTTGAGAGCGTGCAGGTAGGGTGGGTGGTTGTCGACGGGGTCTCTGCCAGGATGTTGGTTGGTTTCAGGCTTCATGTTCGCAGGCAGAGAGGGATCAGGGCGAATGGGCATCGGAAGATCTGCTCCGAACCCTGCACATACAGTCTGAACCGCTTTGTTGTGCATGTGTCGAACCTTTTTGGTGCTGTGCTCATCATCATGATGCCTCTTTTTCTTCTTTTTCTTCTTCAGGAGATAGTCCTCCAGTGTTAGGGACTTTGCGTTCTCATTGTGGGGCCTTGGCTCTACAAATACAGAAATAAGTACAAGTCAGATAGGCGGGGAGCATGCACAGAGCTGTACTGTGCTCTATAGAATTGCATTGTAAAGAAAAAACACACTAATAAACAAACAAAAATGTTGAAAATCTGGCAGCAAGGGTGCCAGAAAAAATATGTAAAAAAAACTGTGAAATACTTTCAAAAACAAAAGAAAAAAAAACAAAAAAACGGTGTAAATAGCGGCAAATATCTGCAAAATAATATTTTTAAACTAATTAAAAAACTGTAAAACTGAAATTTTCTGATCACATATTGTAAAAGAGCCAATCATTATTTGTAAAAACAATTTTTTAATATGAAACATTATTTACAGTCTCGGGCTGTTTTTTGGGGAGGTTTTTTTTTGCACCTTTGATATATGAATAAATACATTTCATGAGGATTTTCCTAGGTATTATCTGTAATTTAAAAATAAATCAAGCAACAAAAACCTGTAAAAAAAAATAAAAATAAATAAATACATTTTTTTTAGGTAAAACCATTTACTTTGAATCCATTCTATAATAAATCTATGGTGCACTAACCTAGCAATGATGACAGCTTTAAATGAACTAGACCACCATTTGCATGTATTGCATATCTATCTATGGCATTAAGATATTAACATCTGTTCTAAACAAAACACTCATTGAACACATCCTATTGCCTGTGCAGCCCTAAATAACAGGATATCCCACAAAAACGATGACACTCACCCTTCTTCTTCTTTAGCTCCGCGTGTTTCACATTGGCCTCGGCGTTCTCCTTCTTCTGCTTCAATTTCACGTCTTTGTCCCGGTGCTTCTCTTTGAATTCCTGCGGTTTGGCCTTGACCACTTTGAGGGGCGTGAAAGTGAAGAGCGCAGGTGGCTGCACGGGCACCGCTCGCTTCTTCTGCAGCTGCTCCGGCACCTTCCGCGGCGGTGCAGGAGGAGGCAGAGGAGGAGGAGGGAAAGTCGGCTGCAAGTTCTTCTTGGTACCATTGGTGAGGCTGTGGTTGTGGTTGTGGTGGTGGTGGTGGTGGCTGTGCAGGACATGTTTATCCGCGCTGAAGTTGTTGGCTTTGGGATTGTGCTGCAGCTGATGCGGCTGGTGCGTCCGGTGCTCGGCGTGCGGCTGCGGCTGCTGGTTGTGATGGTGGTGGTGGTGATGGAGCTTCGCCCTCTTCGCCTCTTTCTCGCTCCTCTCCCGCTTGTCAGCTGACGGCGACAGCTCCCTCTTCTTCTTCTTCTTCCTCTTCTCCTTAATGAATCTGTCGACACTGTCCCTCACCCTCTCTCCTTCTACTTTCGCACGGAACAAGTCGACTTGAGCTGCCATCTTTGCACGTACAGTACATTTAAAGGACTCGGGGCCGCTGTTGCGCATGCACCACACAGCTTGTAGTCCTTTAATTTGTAGTTTTGATTCGACGGTTCAAGTCCGTTGCGCATGCGGGAAGTGTGGTGCTGTGGGTAATGTAGTTTAAAGGTGTCGCAAGGCCTCATGGGAGTTAGAGTTCAGCCGGTGCTGACTGCGTGCCGCTCTGCACGCACTCACCTCTGCTCGGCTGACGTCATGGTTAGTTTAAGGACAGCCAGCAGAGGCGGAGCTGCGGCGTTTATAGCCGCTCAGTAATTTGCACAACCAGTATGCTGATACACAGAGTGAGGCTGACATGTTGCAACACAATCAATAAGTGGAGGTTTAAAATAATATAAATAATATTTATAAAGGCTGTAATTATAATACATGCTCCTAAAGGCCGTTCAAGGAACCTATTTCTACCATTTAATTAATCAATCAGAATCAATAATACTTTATTGATCCCTGAGGGGAAATTGCTTACAGTTACAGCTGCTATCATTCAAAGTCTTACAAATATAAACTGTACAAAATATATAGATGAACGCAAGTAGAAAATATGATCTGAAAATATATTCAAAAGTAGAAAAATATGTCCTAAAAATGTAAACATATGTAGAAACAGTATAAGCATAGATGTAAAATGTTCTTTTCCTAAGAAACAAGTGTTAAGTATTTAGTTTAATTACTAGTGTTATTGCACAGAGATATATAGTTATTGCACATTATTGAGTCTTAACTCAAAAAACGAAGTAAAGTGAGGAATAAGTAAACAAAAGCAGAATTGCAAGATTAAAGTTCTAACATCATTTTTGATGGGTTGTGTTGCCATAATACTCTTAGCAATTGCATCAGATTAATATTATGTGTAATTTAAACTCAGATTTCTGCAATAGTTATTTTAAAATGTACTTAAATTGTAGTAACTTTTTTTCTTTCTTTTTTTTTTAGGATTTTAATTCCCACCTTGTACCTAGATCTCCTAAACATACCTGGGCAATTTCAGACAGTTAAAGAGAGACTGTAACCTCAACAAATATAATACAAAGGACATTACAAGGTGACTATCAAGTCTTTTACAAAGAAATTTCAATAAAGCAATAAATTAGACAATATTTTCAATTGTGATGTGACCAACAGTGGACTGAAGGAAATTTACTTTGTGTTCAAGATTTAAATATTGAGTGTTCAAATATATGACTCCAGTTCAAAATTTAGAAAATGTTAAATACCAACATTTTTTTTCTGATTCAATAATGCATTTTTAAAAAAGCTATAATTTACAAAAACATGAAAAAGGCAAACTTTACAAAAGAAAGTCTGATTGGATCAGCTTAATTTTTAAAATGTTTTTCAACTTAAAATCCTGTGTTCAACAATTATTGTAATTAAGTCCGTAAAAACTTCTTGTAACAACTTAATTTAATGAGTAATCTGTTTAAAGATTTGTGTTTATGCCACCAATGATGACGTAAAATAGCCACTGATTGTAGAGGAAAAGCAAATTCTCTTGTTGGTCGAACATAATTTGTTTTTAGTAATTATGTTAATGCAAAAAGATTGATGTAAACTGTTGTGTTAAATTTTTTTGTTGAGCCCAAACATTGTTTCTTTGGATTTGTATTCCTGTAATAATAAATGAGAGGAATGCTTGTTCTCCTATGTTAAAAAGGAATGGATAGAATTTAATGAAGTATTACATGCTGCATTTCATGTTTTATCTGGTACCAGAATTCCCCAGAATACAGTAAAAACATATGAAAAATCAAATAGAATTCCTCAGTCATGTTAAATCAGTAAACCTTTATTTCTCAGTGCATGAACAGAATGCCATGACCAAATTATTTCTTTTCACCCATTTTATATCATTTCGTCTCAGTTCCCTTAAAAAAATAATGAAACGATTTACAGAGGATTTTTTTTTTCTGCATGAAGGCAAATATTTATACAGGTGCTGTACAATTTATAGACATTTACAACTACTATGATGTCAAAACTAAAAGACTTTTTCTTAACATGTTGGAGCGATGCAAGGCCACAGTATCATACATGGTAATGACATGAACAGTAAATAACACAGTAGCCCAACATATCAACAATAAAGTGGACAATAAATTATTCAGTGGTCCTGCAGACCAACAGATGCATGCGTTACTTGTTTACATCCTTGAACAGGCAGGCTGATGAGGGTCGAGTCGAGGCAATGACTAGTTTGTGATGAGCAGTGAATGCACCACTAGATGTCACTGTACTCCACAGTGGAAACACTGAAACGCTACATTTTGTCTTCAGAGCAAGGTACAAGTGATCCCAATTAATGTTTTCCTTCTTTAAACATGGGACTCAAATCCCAGTTTGATTAAATCTGATAGCATCATCTAAAATCAGACTCTCAAAGAAGCAGTGCAAGCACGACTCGTCCTCCTCGTGTAGAGAATTTGCTGAATTCTTTGAGTTTCTGACTTTGTTGATGACGCAAAAGTGACGTGGCATGACGAATAACAATTACACAGAAATACCCACACCACACTACTTACACTTAGGGTCATGTACTAAATCAAAACTATGATCAAAAATAGATTCAAGGGATCTGAACATGAAGAAATAATTTGTTTTTGTGCCTACATTTCTGGTGATAAAAATACAAATATCTCGTAAAGTTTTAAGTAAGCTGAAGGCAGAGTTCTCGCTCCTTACAATCAGGCTCTGTTAATTCAACTCATCTAAAGTATGTGCCAATATATGTGTAATCACTTTGTTAAATAATATAAGTTTCAGATTGAGTATAGTCGATGCTACAGCAATATCTAAAATACATAGGCCTACCATTCAGCTTGTATACGTACACACAAAGCCAGAGGACCTAAAATACAGAGCTGCTAACAGTCGACAACATTATGAATCAGGCTCGTGTGACTGTTTACAGACTATGTATAGATTTTTATAGTGCTATTTTAGATGGCGACGCTTATCTACACATTTTCACGTCAAAAGTGAAATAACTCAGCATGGATATGTGTACTAACTGTTTTGTTTTACATATAATTTCAATAAATTACATTATGCTTTATTATTAACACACATGTAACAAACATTAGAACTATAACCACAAGTATCTGGTCTGTTGATTGATGCATATAAAGCTCCAGGGTAGTCTGTCCACCTTGTGATAAGCTAATAGGATTCATGTCTGTATGAATGCAGTCACGCACACAATTCACAATTCTGGTCAGGTTCTTGCAGAACTTAAAAGACACAGTTTTCAGACAAATTTTAAGAGAAACTCACCAGTCTCACTTTTTTTTTCCCCTCCTACATCCATTCGTGACAGCAAGAGTGAACCAATCTTTCCTGGAAGATAAGCTGTTTGATTGCATGAATATTCCTTCAAACCTTCAAATGTGAAAGAAAAAGCAGGATCCTTCATCGGGGGTGAGTAGACAGGGAGAGCAGTTCATCCAATTACCCACAAACAGTCTCACAGTGAGTGCAATTAGGAGCAGCTTCTTTATAACCGGAGTCTCTGATTGGCACAAAATAGACTTCAGTGTCACTTCTAAACAAACAAACAAAAAAAAAAAAAAAAAAAAAAAAAAGTCACACTCAGAGCCCACCAATTACCCACAAACAGTCTCACAGTGAGTGCAATTAGGAGCAGCTTCTTTATAACCGGAGTCTCTGATTGGCACAAAATAGACTTCAGTGTCANAAAAAAAAAAAAAGAAAAAAAAAAGTCACACTCAGAGCCCATCTGTTACACACACAACATTGTACAGTACAAATACTCATGTAGGTACGAGCACAACGTCAGATCAGACATCAACAGCTTGATGCAAACTGACCGAGGCAAACTGGGTGAAAAAAAAAAAAAAAAGCAATGAGAAGCTATGTTGCTGGTTACACAGTGATCCGCTATGTCAGAAATGTCTAAAAAACATCCTTCCATTCTGAATGTCCATACTTCAGAGGCTCAGCTTTCTCTTCGTGTATTCAGAGTCCCAGCGGGATTTTAAACATCCGCATATGTTGTGTCCGCTTGGGACTGGATCTTGGCAGAACTGGGAACTTTCCATGGGCCGGGGGTGATGGGAGCCTTCTTACTGGTAGTGGTCCCGTTGCAGCTGGGGTCCTGGATGCTGCTGCTTGAACCTCTGGGGTCCTTTCTGCTCACGTCCTCAGCTGGCCCCGGGTACCTGCTCTCTCGATATTCCTTATCGGCCTTCCCTCTTCCGCTCCTTCGACTCAGCGTGCCGCTATCAGCATCCGACCCTGACCTCTCCCTGTGCTCTTGGGAGTAGGATTTTTGCGCTGCTGCCTCTTGTTCAGCCCTTTTGCCCTTTCTGTGGCGTTCACTGGTCCCCCAGCTTTTGTCTCCGCTCTCCTTGCCCCCTCTCTCCTGCCAGTAAGTTGCATCCTCCTCCCTGTACCTCCAGTCCTTCTCTTCGCCGGAGGCAACGTTGGGCTGCTGGCCAGCTGGGCGCCTGGGGCTCTGAGGCTCTTCCAGGTTCCTCAAAGGCCCAGTCAGGTCATTTTCCCGCTTGGAACCCTTCCTTGGACTGGAGGAGTGATAGTCCCTCTGCCCTTGGGCTTTCCTTTCCTTGCCCATATCCTCCAAGGACCCGCCGTGGCCTCGATCTGTTTTTCGTGGGCTCTGGGAGCTCTCAACATGATCCGTCCAGCCTTCAGTGGCCCTTCTGGGACTGCCAGACTTGGAGTCACTCCTGCCTGTTTTTCTGGCCTGGGCGCCGGGGCTGGTGGTGCGCTTATGGTTGTGGTGAGAGAGCTGCTGTCCTCTTGATCTGTTCGCCTGCCTACCGTGCTCCTGCCCAGCACCAGGGGACCCGGATACCCTGCCGTCTCCCCCAGAGAACTCATCAGGGGCAGATATTTTGGGTGAAGACGGGGACAGTTCGGAGGTAGAGAGGGAGACAGAGGATGGAGAAGCTGGAGATGACTGTCCGTCGGATACAGAGAGTCTGGGAAAGCTTGAGGTTGGAATGGTTACTTTGTCCTTTGAACCTGAGAAACAAGCAGCAGAGAGTAAGAAAACACCCCCGTGGAGTCAAAACCCGTCTATTCAAAGAAACTGCAGAAGCTAAAATATCCCTTTTTATGAGATATTTTGCACAAAAATTAAAGATTTTTAAATGTGTCATGCAAGAGCAGCACAATACCCTCATATTGTGAAAAAAGATGTTTTCCATTTAGCTTGCTTTCTGTAATAACCCTCTGTAATATAACCCTCTGAATATTTGCTTGAGATATGTATCAGCTGATGACACAGGCATCAATGAAAAGGTGCGAGAGTTCACCCAGCACTGACGTTTCAATTTTCCCCTGAGCTGATAAGAACTGCACAGCTGTGTTGAGAGCAGATATATGCAGCAGAAAAACCAGAGAGAGAAAAAAAAGAAGAGTGATGGACTTAGTGGCGCTGAAATGAGCTTTCGGATTTCTAGGAGCAACAACTCATAGAAATTCATTCTGACTTGGTCTTTGGATTGAAAGGTTGATGCCAGTGAATGCACACAGATCCTTTTACCACTTGTCACTTACTGATCAATATCTGGCTGAGGACTGTTCTCCAGGTCTCCATCTTCATTCACACTAAGGATGAGGTGTGTGTTCAGTGGCATCCTAGGTTTTGCAATACCCTTAGAAAATAGCTTGTGGGGCTCTGAAGCCTCCCAGTGCTCCTGCAGGTCTGTTCATTCTTCTAGGACTCACTGCTTTAGTTCAGCCCACCAGAGAAGCGAATGCTTATCATTCATTAGGTGTTCACTGACACACAAGTAACTGATCTATTTCAGATTGACCATGGGGATGACGTAAGGGATAAAGAACAACACTTAAATCTGGGAGATGAATCACTTTGAAAGGGGAGGTCAAAGGCAAAAGTAGGAGGAGTACAAGGTTTACCAAGGTTATTAGGGACAGACCAAGAAAAGCAGTGAGGCCTTTAGTGATGCTCTGGTTTCATGTAGAAGCACAGGGTGGAAGAAGAGTTCAGACCTATAGGAGGAAGAGATAAATAGGTAGAAATAGACAGCCGTGCCGGTGCAGAAAACAGAGAAAGCAAGGCAGATAAACAGCACAAGAGAGGTAGATCCAGATAGAAGTAGTGAGATAGAATGAGAGAAGAGAAACGTCAAGAGAGAAGCTTGCAACACATGCATGAGAATAAAGAAAGTCAGCACCCTGCTATCAGGCATATCCATTCAAGAGCTTCTATATATGTACGGTTAACAATGCTATTGTGTAGATCTGTATGCAGTGGTGACAAGGTGCATGTGGTTCTCAGCAGGGACTCACTGTGGTCCGGGACCAAGCCCTGGCCCGGTCGGAGAAGCAGGTGAACTTTGCTGCCTCCTGCTTGGATCAGCTCAATGGCCCGAGTGTGTGTGATGCCCTGCGTGGCCTCACCGTTGATCTCCACTATCTGATCTCCGACCTGCGATGCAGATACAGTCCATTTTTACATTTCACAAGCTTCAGAATGCAGCAAGTACTTCAAGAGATTTGAAGGTGAGTGCAGAGGGAGAGACATGAGGCAAAGATAGAGGTCAAAGAAACAGATGTGTACATGTAGTCAGGATAAGAATGAATTTTATGGCTAAGTAGGTTTTTACATACAAGGAATTTGACTTGGTGATTGCTGATATGTAGAGATTTTCTTTTAAGAGGGATTAAAGACAGTGTTGCAAATAAATAAAAAAAAAACATCAAGTGTATCAAATCCAAGGATTTTAAAGTATTAGAAAGTAATCAAAGTAATTACAGTGTGCAGAAATGTGCAAATTTACATAGTATGTGGTGTAACCAAGTTAGGATGTGCAAAGCATAATAATCCTATTGACAAAGCTGTGAGTTCATGTATTGCACGGGGTGAGTGAATGTTTGTGGTTTGTATTGTAGTCTTGCTTGCAAACATATCAGCTCGGTTACCTAACGGTGGCTGGGATTATACTATAGTTTACATCCCCCAAAACCCCAAAATTATACAAGCTGTAGCTCCAATACAGTGAGTGAAAAAATCCATCATTATTAACTTTTTAATCGCCTTGACTGAGTGTTGAAGGGAGCAGCTGTCTTGATTTTGCCTGAGGGAAGGTCTTCATGACTGACAACCTCTGAGTTAGACCTGCTGTACCGTGTGCTTCAGTTTACTATCATCCGCTTAATTAAGAGGACAGAGACAGAACATAACTCACATGTATCCTGCCGTCTTTGAGAGCCGGCCCGTCCTCGGCCAGTCGCAGGATGAACAGGCCCATGTTATACTCCTTGCCTCCTCTCAGACTGAAGCCGAAGCCCCGCTGGCTGCGCTCCAGCTCCACCACAAAGCAACCCTGTTGTTCCCAGAGAAGAATATGAGCTTTTAAGACTGAGGCACCACATGCATAATCAATACCAGCCTAGAGATGAATCTGGAAAATGTGTTGATATAAATTCAGATGAAAAGCTTCTTGAGATCAATTGACACCGGAGCAGACTGACAAAATTAACATCTAATTTATATTAAGTTGAGAAATTCTGGCTTCTGTCTCACCTGCTTGGGGCCTGATGCGATGAGAGCTCCCATCTCTTTTTGTGCGAGGGAGTTCCTTGCATCCGAGTCACCGTTCCTGCTCCAGAGAGAACCACAGACACATTCTAATGTTACACACTATCAGTGGATGTTTTACTACAACATGGAACAATGTCTCTGAGATGAGAAAACGTAAAAGGAAAAAAATGCAATAAAAAAAAAAGCTGACGATTTCAACATATTAATATCAACTAGTGCAAACAGTTATTATAAAATGATGTAAATTGTTGTCAGCTATTAACAATATTCAGGTATCTTCAATATATAACAGGCAAAAATTACTGTTTCAAAGTCTGTGACTAATCTAAAAGTGAGGGAAAGGATCTGCTGTGGGGCCATTCATTAAAATGAAAGCATTCACTGTCCAACTTCTACATTATGTGTCATGCTAGCATTACGTTAAAATTATAGATGCTCTACAGTGGAAAGACAGAGAGCAGAGAATAGTAAAGAAGTCTCCTATTCTGCTGCTTCAGTGAGATGCACGCCTTCATTACGGCAACATGAGCCTCTTTTTCTGTTGGTTTCTTTACACAACACACCAGAGAAGAACGTGAATCCCTCAAACAGCTGTGTTGCTCTGTGACAGATAACAGGGACGTACTTTAATGCTTCGCCAAGCTCATTACAATGCCTTTGTGAGAACTTAACTGTGCTGACACACTATCTAAAGGGTCTAGGAAATTCTTAGCAGCTCTTGCATTGAGAGGAGTTTACACACTTCATGCCGCCAAGCTGACAGACTCGGGCTCGTATCTAAGCCCGGGATGACCCAAAGCATGTTTTGGCGATTAAATGAAGAGGAAGAGCTAAATGAGGAAGAGAGGGACACATTCTGATAGGCAGTGAAACAGAGCGGGTGAGGACGAGAAGCCATGGCGGGGAATTGCTGCTGCTGCTGCAATGGATTAAAAATTCTGACATAGGTAATCTCGTTTAGAAAGAAAGATCAAAGGGGAAGCAAGACTCCATATTAATCTGTCTCTTTTTCTTTGCTTCACCATCCAAAGAGTGACCAAAGGGGGATTTTCTGTCTTTTTGGATAACAAGAAGTGTGTGGGTCACAAGAGATGATAATGGACCACATTGTAGCACAAAACCAGAGGCGCTTTGAGAGGATTGAGGCTAATTTATGGTTCAAGTGGCAGAACCTGTGTTCTCCGGTGGACTTGATATTTAAGGGAAGGTGCTGACAAGCTGCTTGTGCGAATGCTTGTGCCTGTGTGATGGTATGCGTGTAAACTTATGTACCTGTCTGGATAGCTGGGAGGCTGTTGGCCTACGGCTCGATGTTGCGCTGAAGGGCTCTGCTTGGCAGAATTTGTTCCAGATGGAGGAGCGCTGTCTGCAAAAACAAAAAGTGCATCAACATTCACATGATCTAATTCCCAGAAAACACTTCGGGCATTTTCTTTAGAAACAGGCCTAACAGAAGTGAGACTTCCTCTGTGCACCAGCCTACCGTCTTCAGGCACAACTGTGAGCGTGACGGAATTTCCGGCGTCCTTGATGAGCTGAACGATATCGTTGTGCGACAGTTCCATGATAGACCGACCGTTGACAGCGGAGATTCGGTCCCCTACCTTCATCTGGCCTATGCGGTCTGTGGGGCTGCCTTCAATAATACGACCGATTTTGTGAGGTATAACTGGAACAGAGGAAAATGGGGAAATGACAGCCTGTTGTTCTGCATGTTTACGATGCACTGATTCAATAAGCTAAACATTAAGACAAGAGAAATGAACAAAAAGATGCATTGAATGTGGAAAGAATATTACATGACGTGCTGTACGGTAGTGTTAGAAGAAAAAGATTTAAGAAAACGGAAGTGTTGCAAGTCAATAGACAGTGTTGCAAGACCAATGAGAAGTAAGTGTAGCAAATCCAAGGAATTATAAAGTAATAGAAATAATTACAGTGTGCAGGAATGTGCAAATATTTGCTTAAAAATGTGCAAATTTACACAATACAAATAATTGGAGATGTGCAAAGAATAATAATTCTATTTAAAAAGCTGTTCGATCTTAGTTTAGTGCTTTGCTAATTTGCACTTAATGCAATGTCATTAATTTGCAGGTTTTTGGTCATCAGCCAAAGTGGTGGACAAATAAAGAATTTGGCTGGAGAATGGCGTGATAAGTGTAGATCACCAAAGATTTTTTTCATCGTGAATGGACCTTAAATGTGTGACCTTAAACAAATTTAATGAAAATTCATCCCTAGTTGTTGAGATGTTTCTATCCTGAGAGGTACCCCACTACCAAGGCTAAAAACCAATAAACAGTAAACTTTTGTGTTCTTACATACAGTCCTCACATTTATTCATACCCTTCCATTGAAGAAAAAGAAAATAGTCACTCAAAAAAACTAAAAACTGGAAAAGGTAATCACAAATAAAAATTTGCTAAATTACAATTTAGTGAAATAAGACATCCATCCATCTATTATCTAGGGTCGCAAGGGGGCTGGAGTCTATCCCAGCTGAGTTTGGGCGAAGGCAGGAGACACCCTGGACAGGTCGCCAGTCTATCGCAGGGCTACACTTAGAGACAGACAACCAAGCACACTCACATTCACACCTACGGACAATTTAGAATCATCAATTAACCTCAGCATGTTTCTGGACTTGTGGGCGGAAGCTGGAGAACCCGGAGAGAACCCACACTGCACGGGGAGAACATGCAAACTCCACGCAGAAAGATCCTGGTGCCTCCACCGGGACACAAACCGGCAACTTTCTTGCAACAGGCAACAGTGCTACCAACTGCGCCACCTTGCAGCCCTGAAATAAGACATTGCTTTTGAATTGTGTTTGAAAAGAATAATTAAAAAAAACAAAAAAAACAACAACAAACAAAAAAACTGTCCTGAACAAATTAGAGCACTTTGCTGACGAGCAGTTGAGCAGTGGGACAAAATCAAAATACCTGTCAACAGATGTAGAAATCTGATTGAGAGTTACAGAAAACACTTGATTGCAGTGATTGCCTCAAAGGGTTGTTCAACAAAATATTACTTTACAGGTCCCAGCATGCTTGTTTGCTTGTTTTTTGTTTTTTTTTTCTAAATATTTCTGTTAAACCACAATTCAAAAGCAATGTCATGATTTTCATTATTTTTTTTATTTTTTTTTAATACTTTTCAATTTCAACTTGTTTCAGTGACAGCTGTTTTTTTTTTCCTTCTTTAATGGGAGGGTATGAATATATTTGTACTGCTACTGTTAGGGTCCTTACATTCCATGCCATTTATTTAATTGATTTCCAGGACTAGTGTAGGTTTTTATTTGTTCCTAACCTCCAGGTGGGGGTTTGTTCTTCGACGTGAGGATGACAAATCCAAATCCTTCGTTGTCTTTGCGCTGCAGAGTAACGTCGAAGCACTCTGGCCGAGAGGACTGGCCGGGCTGGACGGAGTTTGGCACCTCAACACGAGGCATCTTGGGGGAGCTGTTGACCAGAGCGGAAGCGACCTGCTGGGGCTGCTGGCCGCTCTCCTCCTCTGTACCACCATCTGCACATGCACACAAGTATGGAAACACATCAGGACTAGATCTCCACAACTATATCAACATATTTGAATTAATATTAACAATATTTGATTAAGGATTTGTTACTTTCATAAATAGGACAACACACGTAAACACAAATTTAAATCCATGAACAATTACTTGTCAAAATGTCCCCAATTTGTTCTTGTTGAGATCCTTCCATAAATATGACCAAAAACTGCGGCTTTACCAAAGACAGGCTTTTTGCTGCATTTGTTGCAAACATTTAATACAAAATTGTCAGCTCTACACCGGAGATAAAACACCTTTACAATCTGTTATTCATAAGACAAGCTGATCTATCTCAGTGTCTCTTCATTGTGTTTGTTTTGCTGAGTCCCTGTTTTGTAAGCCTGCATCAGGGAATCTCTTTCTAAACCCCTGCTTTGAAAGCATAAACCCTTACATGATTGATGCTTAATTTCTGCATCGTGATCAAAGCTGTTGCAGCAATACATCAAATCCAAAGTAATTTCAAAAAGTGCTTGTACTATTCGTGGAGTGGCTATTTGTGGGGGTAAACAAGCCTGAATGCAGCAGGGTTATGTGCTGTTGAAATAGCAAACTCAGCATATTCTCTTTTTTTTTTTCATCCTTTGAGATGTAAATCAACTCCACCAGCTGATCTAATCTTCGCTGCCCTACACACAACTCCGATCAGCCTTGACAGATAAACAGAGAGCAAACAATCTTCTGTTTCTTTTTTTAACCGTTTGGTTTTTCCTGGTTTGGTTAAGGATAAAAATTCAATTCACTTTGCTGTGACTAAAGTAACTGCACCGCTTTCCAAACTTTTCAGTAAAATGCCTGCATAGAATAGCAACCTAAGTGTCGTGTTTTTCTTTTTTTTTTCCTTTTTTTTTTATCGAACTTCATTTATTCAGTGAATAAGTCACCCAGAACAAATTTAAAGGATTACTGAAAAAATCCCACATCAAAGCTTTTGCTCAGAGGTTTCTCCTCTAGCATACTGATCCAAACCAAAAGAGTGAGCGAGGAAACCTCGATTTAAGTGCCCTCACAGACATGTTGGGCTGATTATTGAAAAGCAGACCCACCTGTGTGTGCTAGTTTCCTGCGGACTGTGAGCATGACTTGGCCATTGCGGGCAGCATTGGTCATGAGCTCCAGCACTTGTTTGTGGGATTTGCCCTTGACAGGCACGCCATCTATACAAAGTAGCTCATCTCCCGCCCGCAGGCGCCCGTCCTTCTCAGCTGCACCGAGTGGAACAATGGCACCGATGTACACCTGTGGAAGTAAGAGAGACAGCTAAACACACTGATCTGAGCGTGCAGATTAACTGGCGTCACGGTAAATAATCAGTTAAAATCCTCTAAGTTGAGTATTTGACAGCCTATCTCTACATCAGCCAACAGCATTTAGCTACTGTTTGAATAAACAACTCAAATCTGCTTGGTGTCTGCTGTTTTCTAGTATCTGAGGGCTTGGGATTCCAGCTGCGTGCCGAGCCTGGTTTCAAATGGCTGAAGCGAGCAGAGCTGCTACCAACCGGCTGATCTGGTCCCTCGCCTCCAAGGACTCTGAAGCCAAAGCCTGATTCCTGGTTCCTTTTGATGAACACATCCAGGTCCTTGGTATTAGGAGCTGCAGAGAGGGGAGGAAAGAGAAGTTGTGAAAAACTGCAGCATAAAAAAAACAAAACAAACATAACTCATTGATTATGTTGTTTGTGAGTGATGTGTTGTTGGGTACGTGGGCAATGTCTATATCTTATAATGCAGTAGGTTTATGCCTGTAGTTAAGGCCACAGAGTGCTGACAGCATTTCATTTAAACAAATACTTGATTCAAGTTAGAAATCACATTATTTTATATATACTGTCATCAGATGAAATGTTGTAAATAAAATTCAATTACTTGATTTCACACTAGGGTCAGTGTGTCTCATTTCAGATAGCAGTGTTGCTAAACCATCTCAGATTTTGTTCACAGTTTACTTATTTGTTATTTGGGACCCTACTAAAAAATACAGTCTTTGGTCGACATTTCACCAAACTTTGAGTCCTTTAACACAATTTGATGTGTGGCAGGTACGGAAAGCCGGGTTCTAATTTTTGCTATTTTGAATGACAAAGTAGTGCCATCAACTCATTTCCAGGACCCCAAAAAACTGGTGTGCACAGGGATCTATATATTATCTGTATGTAAAACTGGAACTTTGGCTTATAATACTTGCCACACAACAAATTCCACAAACGTTGGAGACACCAAAAATTGGTGACATGTCGACCAAAGACTCTATGTATAGTAGGAAATATGGATACAACCATACATATGTATATATATATACAACTTTCTGGTGCTGTAATACCACCCAGATGTAAAGATTTCTTATCTGTGTTTAATATTAATATAAATTTAATATCAAGGCAGCTGGTATAAAAAAGGCATCAAAATAGCAATAGATACAAAAAGAAAACATTAATGTCACATTTTTGCACCCACAATGATGGTGAAAAGTGAGAAATGGGTGGCCCTTTGTTTTCAAAAAAAGACCCACGAAGGCTAAAAACTAGTCGTGCACACTCACGCTTGCTGTCTAACATGGCCCTGGATTTGAGGTAGAGCTCAGATGCGTCTGGTTTGGGTGAAGACGAGCGCAGGGTGTTGGCGGGGAAAGACAGCGGACTGGGCTGCACCTCCGGCTGACTGAGGGTCTCTGTGCTGCTGATCATCTCCTGTCGCTGCTGCTGCATTATGGGCTGGGAGCTTGGATGGGGAAGTTGCTGCGTTGCGGGATGAGGTGCCTGGTGAGGCGTCGGCTGCGATACGGAATGGGACATGGGAGCAGTGCACTGCAACACAGAAACAAGTGCAGCGGTAAACAGGAAGGTAAAGTGTGACCTCAGGTGGATGAATATCATAAATCAAAACATCCACAGAACAAATTATTTGTAAGAACATTGCAACAGTATTAACTATCATTATTTAGTATTTGTATATTATTTAATAACATATAGTGTGACATATTCAATGATTTTATCTGAATGATTTAGTGTTTTCCTTTGACTGCTTTTCAGCATTGAATTATGGTCAACTGAATTTGAATTTTGACAAGAATTTACAAAAAAGGGCAGTTTAGTGTCAGAGGCAAAACATATTTCTACTAAGTAATATAAAATAAATAAAATATAAAACGTAAAATAAGTGATTGCTTTTGTATTTACCCCCTTTAAAGTGACTCGCCTAATTCAACGCAACCCATTGGTGCAGGAAGTCACACAATTGGTGAAATAGAGATTGTCTGAGTGCAGTGAATGCTTCTCAAGTGATTGGAGTATAAATACACCTGTATCTGAAAAGTCCACACCATGGTGAATCTGTAATCTTGAATAGAGTTTATCGAAAGACATGTGGTAGAGTCTGGAGTCAACTAGGAGAAGGTTCGTATGTCTGATGAAACTGGGCTTTTTTCCCATCAGACTAGATGGTGGCCAACAAACAGTGCATATGATTACAAACACACCATTCCCACCATGAAGCATGGAGGTGGTAGCATCATGATGTGGGGATGATTCTTGGCAGCAGGCCCTGGAAGGCTTGTAAAGGTAGGGGGTAAAATAAATGTAGCCAAATATATGGAAATCCTGGTGGAAAACCTGACACCGTTTGCAAGAGAACTCGGGTGAAGATTTGTTTTCCACCAAGAAAATGACAGAAAGCATACAGCCAAAGCTACACAGAAAGAGTTAAAGACAACAAGGTGAATTTTCTGGAGTGGCCGAGTCAAAGCTCAGACCTAAATCCAATTGAGAGTTCGTGTCTGGACTGAAAAAAGGGCTGTTCACTTACAAATCCCCATGCAACCTGACAGATCTTAAGCTGTTTTGCAAAGAAGAATGAGGTAAAATTACTAAATTATATTGACCATGATTCAATGTTGAAAATACAATAAAAAGGGAAAACTTCCAAGGGGGGGTGAATATTTTTTTTTATAAGCACTGTATATCTAAAATAGAAGGCAGCTATTGCAGAAACAATCGTTTTAGCTGCGAACCCTCCAGCATGACATACCAAAACTACTGTCTTAATTTTGGAAAAATAGGGCATTCACACAAAACAATTCTGTGTTTAGGCAATAAAACAGTATGAGTAAGCCTGTTGCTGCCTCAGCTCCTCTCTATTTTAAGAGTGCAGCACGGAGGAGCAGCACAGTAACAAGCTGTTGAACATGGCATATCATCTTAAACACCCATATGCGGAGGGATGTTAAGTTGCTGTTTGCCAGGAGCCAGCATATTTACCCACATGCAGTTCCAGAAATAACAGCCTGGCTAATGTGGGCTCCCTGAATAATGTAGCTAACAACATCTACCACAGCACACACACACACACACACACACACACACACACACAAAAGCACTCAGTTTTGCTCGTGGGTAACCAAGACAAAGTTAAAACCTTTTCTGTTTAATAATTCAGCAGTAGTTTTATCATCAGTACATGCTTTGATCCATCTTACAAAATGCACAAAATTCGCCTCGACTTACTGGTTTCAGTGATTTCACAGGAGATGTCTGACCTGCAGGGAGAGAGGTAAAAATCAAATCATTAAGAAAAGCAACAACAAACATCTGCTATCAAATACTTGGCTTAAAGGCTTTAAGGATGAAGTGTATTTTGTATTTTTTTTTTCCCACTCCACTGACCTATTGGCCTTCAGTGGTGGAGTTTCACAATAAATCATCTCCCATTTCTTATGCGGACTCGTTTTCTGCACTTAGTCACTTAAAGGAACTTGCCTTGAGGTTTTATAGATGTTTTTTTTTTTCTTTTTTTCTCTTTCAGTCACAGAGTAGAGCGTGAGTTGAAGTGTGTTTCAACCAGTAGGGGGCAGTAGACTCCAACAGCTAAAATAGTTTGCATGTAACTGAAGGATGGGAGACACAGAGATGACCCCAAGTCATGGGAAAACATGCAAGTCTCTGAGTGAAATGTTCCAGCTCTTACTAACACACTGTAAATGCTCTCAATGTAACGCTTTTCAGATTTCAAATTGTCATTAAATTAAATAATTAAATGGAATGTTTCAAAGAATGTTTATTGTGGAGGTTTAAAAAACAAACACACAAAAAACATTGTTTTCTTTTTAAATATTAATATTGTAAGTGTACCAGCAGTATCTCCCAATTGATAGTCCCTTATCACATCACATTTTGGACACTGATTGTGGTGCATATCAAATGGGGAAGGGCACTTTGTCTCATTTCCAGATTTAAATCCAGAACAGGGAGTAGGGCCAAATAATTTCCTGTTTCATTTTTCTCTGCTGTTGTCATCAGAGGGGAGTTCTACCCTCCGGCTGGGAGTAAAGCCAGACCTAATCCCAGTATATAAGTGACCTGAGGGAGGCCCTGCAGCATTGCTCCTTTTAGTCCTGGAAAGCTGTGATCTCTTGCTCTTGTTAAGCAGCAACACACACACACACCCTGCATATGCATATGTGCCATTAAAAAATGCATATCGGGAGGACTACACACACACACACACACACACACACACACACGCACACACACACAACAAGCCCCTGGAGCTCAGAGCAGAACCCAGCTGAGTACATCTGATATGTGGGTGCAACACTGATCTCTTGAATCTAGGCTACTGCACTGCAGTAAAGGCAAAAAGGAACAAGCCCTTCAAATCCGTGAAAGCATAAAGTAAGAAGAAGAAGAAGAAGAAGGGCAATGATTATCCACCATGCTCCGTCTCTCCTGCCTTTCCTTCCCTCTCTTTCTCTCTAGGCAGTAAGTGAATCACCCAAACTGCCATCTCTTTGCACCTTCCCAGCACAGCTCACCATGTGACTAAGCATGACTTCCTCCCTGTTTGGGAAGGTGCATGGTGGATGATGCAGAGTTGGTGTGGACCAGAGCGTGAAATTGCTTTATTTAACATTGGGAGAGTCGGTGTGTGCAAGCAATACATACAGAACACCACAATCCATCCTGTTATTTATAAAACATAGTTTAAAAAAAACCCCACATTGTACCTGTTACATTCAATCTCACACCTTCTACAGTTGATAAGGGTAAACAGTGTTGCTGTCTCACTTTCTCTTAATTAATTTCAAGCAGGCTATTCACCTCTGTTGATTTACCCGCTCCATTATTTTGGGAAAAAGAGAAAATAGGAGGGCAAAAAAGACTACTGGTGACACAAAGCTGTGCGGGGATTAAAATGAAGCGTGGGACTAAACCACCAGATATCTCTGGGCACTAACACCTGTTTGCTGTCTGCACAGTAACCAGAGTAGATTAATATAGACAGCAGAGATTAAACAACAGAGATGTCACAGCATCAGTACTGTGAACTCATCACCTGGGACATACTTCTAAAGATTAGCTCAGTGTTGCCAGCTCTCCTGACAGCAGCAGCGTGCCTTTGCAGCAATGTGAACTCTCGTTTCTGCAGACTCACCTCCTCTGAGCACCAGCACGTTGACTTCACTGCCCACAGGGAGATCTTTGAGGATGTCCACCACCTGGGAGTGGCTCAACGTTTGGACATTCTGTCTGTTGATCTCCTTGATCACATCGCCCTTCAACAAGCCGCGGCACCACTGAGCATCCAGGATCATCTTCACCTTCTGTCCCAGGGGGCAGTCTGCAATGGCAAAGCCAAAACCTCCCGGGCCTTTCACCAAGGGCACACTCACCAGCTCTGGTTGTAGCAGCGTGGGATCAGGGCCTTCTTGGTTGAGGGCATGAGGAAGGTGATGGTGGTGTTGGTGGGGGTGAGCATGGTGGTGGTGGCGCCCACCGTTGGTCATAGGCGGCACCGCAGCAGTCTGCCTGGGAAGAGTTCCTCCATCTGGGACTGTGTAATGGGGGTCCTGGGGCGTGGAGGTGGAGGGAGACGGGGAAGTGTCCTTGGAAGTGCCGACGCCACCTGATGCGTCCTCGCTGCTGCTAGAGTCCTCAGGCAGAGGGTAGCCCCGACACAGAACCATGTCCACATACTGGTTGATTGGGATGGATTGGAACATCTGCACTACATCAGCATGAGTCTTTCCCAGCACACATGCGCCATTGATGTCCACAATCACATCACCTAAAAGACCAACAGACACCTTTTAGATGTTTGTGTTTCAGGGCAAATGCAAAGATCCACTAACGTCACCAACCTAGACATCACAATAATGTAGTTCAAAATTTTGTAGCTGGATTGCAGAAGCAGAACTAAAGAAGGCTCTTGGATGAGGGGTTAAATGCTCTTACGATTATCCTGACCTGAACGACTAAGGATCTACACACACATAAGTAGAATCTGTGTTTGGTTTTAACATCTTCAAGCCGTTAATGGGAAAGGAGAGTGTGAGAGAACATAAAATAGAACAACATCACTGACATGCTGTTTTCTTCTCCCTCCTTTCATCTCCCCGTAACGGGTAGTCTCTCATCACCCATGGCCTGGCCGAGATATAGGCCTGGATAAGCGGCTGAATTGCTGACTGGCTAGCTGGCTGAAAGCCCAGAGGAGGATCCAGCCCACCTACACAATCAATACTCTCTCCTAGCAGCGAAGGTTTCACTCTTGAAATGAGCTCCAGTGTGTTGCCTGTTCAAAACCACTACCTGTTGCTCTCATGGCCTACCTATTAACTAAGCATCCAAAAAAAAAAAGATAAGCATCTTCGCAAGTTCAAAACATTTTACTTTCAGTGTAAGTAAATGCACTGTAGTCAGAAGTGCAGAAGAAAGCTGCATGAAGTTGTTATAGTCTACTGCTTGCTATTAAAATCCAGTGAAATTAATTACATTCATCTTTTGGTATTATCAATTATCCTCCTTCTCAAGGGAGATGAAACATTGAAAATAATTACTCTGTCTGTTCCACTTTCAAGTTGATTCTCAGCAGCAGCAGTGGTGCAGCGATCAATACTACTGTAATGTGAACCCTAAGGCATCTCACAGCAACAGTAATTTCAATGACTACAATAACCATGCATGTGATCATAGTATTTATATATACAATAAAAGGGGATTAACTGAACCACTTCCTCGAGGATGCTGCTACAGTCAGCGCTGGTGACTTTTTAGAAAACAGACGGGCAGAGCTACAGGCAAACTGCTGTACACTGCATGCACATTCTTCAGATAAGCAGGCTCGTCACCCTCCAGGCATAAAAAGACAACCAGTATACAGGGTAATTAAATCTCTAATATATGTGTGCATGTGAAATCTGAGTATCAACCATAAATTGAACACGTGCTTCATTGATGATTTCCTATTTTTCTGAGCTGCTCCACTGAATCCTGCCCATAAACATTTGTCTTGGCGTGATCAAGCAATGTGACATCCAGAGCGAAGGTCCCATCCTGTGTTATTTTTTTTTCTAAATGTGTTTGTTTGTGTGTACTCAGGGTACATAAAACTGTATTATCTACAGAACGTGTGCAGATGCCAGTCTTGGGTGTGTGGATAAACATACACGTCATGTAAACCCTGTGCATGTGCCACTGGATTATGTTTTGTTTAGATAAGTTGTACAAGCCTCTGACTTTTCGTGCTAAAAAAAAATAAAAAAAAAATCCTCCTTGTACTAGTTTTCATTATGGTCATTTACACAAAGATGGCCTGGGACTGCTAAACCAGAGCCAGATACTGGAGTGCACATTTATAAATATTATATCTGCCAGCAACGTTACCAGAGGCAATCTTGTTGTCGTGCGCCGCCGGCCCATCTGGAAGGACGTTTTTGACCTGAAGGAACTCGTCGGGTCGGTCTCCTCCAATAATGGTGAACCCAAATCCCTGGGGGCTTTTTCTAAGTGCTGTCTGCAGGATGGAGCCCTGCAGCTGAGACGGATCTCGCGTGAAGCCCCGCACTCCCCTACTAGGCTCCTCTGCTGTAGAGATGAGAGTGGTAAAAAGAAAAGAAAGACTGACTAGAAGTAAAGAAAGAAAAAAATTATCTTTATCACCCTAATTATACAACCAACTACACAATCAATTGCTTCTATTTACCTGCTGGAACACATTACACAGTCCCAATTTAAAAATAAACACAGACATTAAAAAAACCAAAAAAATCAGGTTGTATATTAAACTTGAAATTAACGGACAGAAGCGGTTTATCTGCAGATGAAAGCGGCGCATCTCGAGAGTTCACAGGTTTATGAGATGGAACCGCTTATGTGGCACAGTGACATGTACGTGTATGTGAAAATGGGCCTGGGATATGAAGAAAAACTGAAAAGCTTGCTCATAAATTGCCATCTGTCTCCATCATAACGACATTCGCACAGTGACAACGTGTCTGACAGCACATCACTCACTGCTAGTAATTACATGAACAACCCAAGAACCCGCAATTTAAGTGCAAACTCAAACAAATCACACACACGCGCACGCACACACACACAGAACTTAGAATTCTGGTGCTGTGTTTGCTAAACCAATAAACAGCCAGTTATTGAAAAATGTCTATTTTTTGCCCTAGTCACAACGCAAACAACCAATTCCTTTCACAGCAGTGATAAATCCATCCTTAAACGCACCTGACATTTTCCAGGTAAACTTTTCATTGCAAATTTCCTTTGTGGTGCCTGCAGGATGTGCAAATGGGGCAACTTTATAGAAGACAGGAAGAGAATCATATTTGACAGTGTGTGTGTGTGTGTGTGTGTGTGTGTGTGTGTGTGTGTGTCTGTGCGCGCGCGTGTGTTTGTGAGTGCATGTGTGAAAACGAGAGCAAGATAAGAGTGATGAGCCAGAAAGAGACAGAGGGAAATAGAGTTAGCCTTGACAGAAAGAGGGAAATTCTAACTAAATCCTCACTCGCCCTTCCCTGTGGTGTGCGCCTATGAGACTGTGAGTTATGTGCTGTGTCCCTGCACGCTGGGCTTCTTCTCTGGCAGTTCCCACACTGATAGATGGTGGGACATCAATCTCATTAGGGAGAGTACAGATAGAAGTCCCCCCTCCCTGGCCTCCAACACTACTCTCAATGTGTCATGGGATTGTGATTTGCATAATTGCATTGCAATTGGCAGATGAATGTGACCGCTCTGTTGAGAAAAAAAAAAAAAAAAAGATTACGCCAAGTATGATTAACATGATATCCCTGCATCGGTGCAAGCGGTGTTTGCAGAAATGTAAATTAATGCGCGAGGATGTGCAAGCAGGTGCAAAAAAACAACATTCCTCATGACAAGTTCAGGTACAACTGTGTGTAATAAATATGTTGTTTGACAGAATTAAGTCTCCTCAGACTGCCAAAGACATGTTCACACAGTATGTCAAGAGACTGTCAGCGCTGCTTCTTACATGATCATCATGAAAGCAACATTGACAGAAGAGAAGAGCGAGAGCGGCGAGTGGAATGGGGAGGGGGCTAGACACCAAAGCCATGTTTACATGGTCTTAATTAAGCTGTGGGCCACAAAGGGACAGTCTGTTTTCTCAGGGGTGAAGTGATTATATGAAATGTCTGACAGGATTGTCAGCGCTGTAATTATGGCTGAGCATAGTGCTGCGCTTTGCTCCTGTGCTCTGCGGCATTGTCTGGGAGGTCAGGCTAGCCAGCCTTGTCAAAACAGTGTTTAGAAGCCACCTCACGCACGTCCACACACTTGCACAAGACCACCAGCGATTAATTCTCATTAACAAGGGTGGGAAGGTGCAGAGTGGGCTCAAGGGAGACAGTCGAAGCTGGAGGCAGCGGTACACAGAGGCAGTATCATCCACAGACTGCAGAGCGGCTCAGCTGTGGGAGGTGGGGTCTGCATGCAACAGAGTGAGGCAGACAGTTCTGTCCATGGGGTGTCTGAAATACAGAGGCTAGTTTGAATACTAATATGGTCATGCTTTGTGTGTGCACACATGGCAGAGTATAATAACTCTTGTCCATCCTACAACAACATGGGGCTTCCGCTTCTCAGACCTTTACATTTCCTGAGAAGAGGCCGATTAGAGCAGTCAAGCAGCAGCATTCACCACAGGTGGTAAATGATGAACAGATGACCCAGTAGAAATGCAATTTATGATCATAAGTCACTTTCAACCGCAGTCACCTCTTTCTCCTTCACTCTCTCTCTTCTCTCGCTGCCTTCCTCTGTTCTAAAGAGATCTTTCAACTGCTGTGAATGACTGGGGCAAAAGCATTTTCAAAGAGACCTCAGAGTCCTCCCTCTTTCATATCTACTTGTCAAAATGAATTCTGCCGCCCAGCGAAGCGCTGTTCCATTATTCAAATTGAATATCATTGCTTCAGAGGCTATGGGCTGTTTATCAGCAGCCTGTCAACTGTTAGAACATCTTCTAGACAGACATCTCAGCATGAAGGAGATACTAAAAAAGTGCTCCAGTATTTGGATAACACATCTAATGTGTTGTTATATAGTTTTTTTTTCACTGAACAAAAAGCTAGAAGTACAAGCCGGAACCTGCATCCCAACAATGCTGCCCTCCGCGCTGCATCTTATGAAGGAACACAGACACTAGTGTCAGTTTTTGATAACCTGAATATTCACCCACTGCTATGGAAAATCACGTTTACTTTCGAAAACATTACATTTACTAAAATGTTGATACTTTTTTATGTAAGACGGCTTACTTATCCTTCAACACTACCAGTACTTGTGCATTCAGAGTCATAATAATACCAGCAAAACGAACAGGACTAAAAGTCTACAGTAGATATATTTCCAACAGATCCCCGCACACTGTCTAATTTGCAAAATTATGACCAATGTTTTGGTGCTAGACCTTCACCAGGCAAAAATGTAATGACAGGATTTTTGCAAGTCTCTTTGAAAGTTTTAGATATTTGTGTCCCTCTCCTACGCACCTGCGTCACGAAATGCATGTGCAAAGAGCTGTTTTGTGTTCAATCAAGGTATGAACAGCTGCACTTTGAGCTACATGCTGTATTTACAAACTTACATGTTCACACTGACAATGCAAACATAATGACATCAGGTTTACCATGATCACCATCTCACTGTAACATAACAGCATTCAAGCATTTGATAGTCAGAACTAAACACAACGTATCTACTGATCAGTCAAAATTAAAACCACTGACAGATGGCATAAAAAACAATCATCATCTTATTACACTGCAATGTTCCACAGCTAAACCTGCGAACCAATAACACCGCTATAACAGCTCTCCCACAAAGCAGTGGTCTGCCCAAGAAGGACAATCCATCCTGCCACTTTAAAAAAAAACAAAAAACTGCTCGAGGAACATGAACCAAGAGCCAGGGGTATTGATGCCACTTCCAAACTTCCGTGATCTAAATCTGATTGAGCGTCCATCAGACCAAACCGGTTCCATAGAGGCCTGACACCGCTATAGACAGGATTCGCTGCCAACGTCCTGTTGCCAGACAATACAGAACACCTCCAGGGGTCCTGTGTCCACGGCCCGACAGGTAGTACCATTAGTTTTTCAAGTTTTCGATGATAAACCTCAGTTAGAGGGACATTTAGATTTTTATCTGATGATAGGGACCATAAAAGTTACTATAATTCATCCAAAGGAGAACTTGACTGGCTTAACCAAATTTCATGGCAATCGGTCCAAAAGCTGTTGAGACACTGAACTCTAAACAACTGTCAACCTCACAGTAAAAATTTTAGTTTCACTAAAATCAGCAGGCTTTATCCTCTTAGAACCACTGATGTCTGTGCCAAATTTTCTATCAATCCTTTCAACAGTTGCTGAGATTTCAACCTGGACCAAAGAGGTAAACCAGCCAACCATTTATCATTCCCAGCATGGCTTAAAAATCATTAAATTCATTTCTAAGAATTATATTAAAACATAAGCTTTTCTCTTTGAGGATAATCTCATACAAGGGTCATAGAATGAAAACATGCATTAATCATGTGTTACTCTCTCTCTCTCTCTCTCTCTTTTTTGAATTCCAGGATGCAATGTAGATCTTTAATCTCTCATTCTGTCAGTTTCCCTGCTGAACAAGTCGAGAAAAACTTCCAGGCCCTCACATAAACTATGACCTGAAATGTGAATATTGCAGAACAGGCTAAAGATTGTGCAACAGACAGAAAAAACATCTGTATGATCCCAGCATTTCATTCTCACTTTTCCTGAAACACCCTCATATCTCAACATGACTGCATTTTCAAAACACACTAACATTCCTGATCTAAACGTTTTTATTTTGTTTTTTTTTCCCTCTTGCCTTCTTCCTATTGCCACTTGTTTATTTCACAGAAACTGAAATTTGAAATGCCAGCATTGATCCCATTCTATTGCAGATTCTTCCTTAACCCCTGTGAATAACATGTTTGTTGCTTCCCGCAGAAGGCTTGGTTGTAGGTAAAGTTACCTGAGGGTGTGGCTGCTGGTGGCGGAGCTGCAATGGGCACGTCCACACTCAACTTTCTCTTAGCTTCCAGTACTGGATTCTCAAACTGGGTCTTCTGGTTGATGTGGCTGCACAAGAGGACAACATTTAGTGACCAAGAACCGTGAACAGCAAAAAAAAGAAAAAAAAAAAGAAAAAGGATGTTGTATAAAGCTTGAAAGCACCTTGCAAACATATTTTCACGTTTGCATTTCTGTTGGCAAACTGTTCATCACACATTTAATTATTTCTTTTCCTGAGTTCTCTATTGATTTGAGCTTCCAGCTAATGTTTCTGCTTTTTTCATTCATCTGTGGTTTTGCCATTTGGCCTCACTGAAGACAGCCAGTCCACATCACTGACACTGTTCTTTGTCTGTCATGCAAACCTGTGATTTGAATGCGAGGCCTGTTTGTGACATAACCTGCGCTAGGCAGACAGGATGTCTTATAGCATGTAAGCTGTTCTATTACAGTATGTGAACCACAAACCTGAACCGGCCTGTGCCAGAGGTGTTACATTTTTAGATGGATAGAGAGCAAGTTTAAACCTCAGACACAGAGAAAAAAAAAAGTATTGATGTGTCTGATGAAATTACACAGAATTTGGATGATCAGAAGCAATCTTTGATGAGATGGTGCACGTTGACCTGATGGGATAAACATCTGCTCAATACATAACAATCCCAAGATCATAAGATTCAAACAACTGTACAATGATGTAATGACAATGTGTACTTTTTTTTATATTACATGCCCCTTTTTTCTCAAATTTTTTTCTAAAACAAACTGCCTTGTTGACCCAGAATCAGGAACTACACTTTGGGGACTTCACACCAAACTCAATCTAAAAACAATTAATGTCTCGCAGTCACACCTGTGTGCTCAAACATTTCCTGCTACCCAGAGAAATGTCCCTCCATGGTTAGATGGTAATGGAGAGAGGTATCTCATCTGCATAATGAGCTTTAACGGTTGTAAATCCCGGTCATGACAGCACCTTGGGAAGACAAAATGCATTGATGCTGCACAGTGAATCAGCCACATGCTGAGCCACTGATGGTATATGTGTGTGTGTGTGTGTGTGTGTGTGTGTGTGTGTGTGTGTGTGTGCATTCAACAAAAAGCACTCTGCACTCTCACTGAGTATGACTCATGCACACAGATACCCTCCCCATTAAGTCTGAAGAGATAAACATTCTCCTTTCTTTCATTTCCACTCTTTCATTTCCTCTTTTGCTCTTTTGCACCTCGTGTTTTCTAGACATAATGGGACTTGGTGTGTCGTTGTCGCATTTGGTCCTTCATTCACAACAAAATTTGCCAGACAAAAAGACAGAGACAGAAGAGAGGCAGCCTCTCAGTGACCCTCTTGCATAAACAGGCCCACTGATTTCCCCCGCCCCCCCCTGCCTGCAGGTCTCTTCCTCTTTGTCCACAGTAATGGGACTAAAATGAAACATTGTGCTCTTGTTTACGCTCTTGATCAGAATGGAATCTCACCCTTGTTTCCCTCTAAGGGACCCCTAAACCTTCATTGTCTGCTCTCTTCACTGCATTTTCTTTTTCACATACACACAGTGCTGTAACCCGCTAGTGTTGCTGGTGCTCCCATAATTGCTGTCTGTAGGACTGTGGGAAACTACTGTTTGGACAGTACCATGCACAGGTCCCCCGAGATTCAACAGCCACCCTTTTAATATTTCTGCGCCTCTGAATTTCAGTGATGCGGCTTTAAGTTGATGTGAAGGATATAACGCAGAGCTAGCTCTAAGAAGTGTATTTTAGTGAAATCAAACATGCAGACACCGCTTCACAGGATCAAGACAGGTTTTTTTTTATCTTCAGCAAAGAAACAAAGACACTGGATGTGAGCATGCAGTTAGCCATTTCATCTAGAACAATTCACAGCTGTAGCCCGCTGGGCATCTCCAGGCACAGGAAAAAAGTTTACTCACTCAACGTAGTAGGTTCCGTACTGGGGGTCCTCAATCTTCTCCCAGCCATAGGGCAACTCTGAGGGGAGAACCGACAGGGAAAAGACAGACGCAAATCAGTTAGGGTACTGCTGAGGCACAACATGGACAATTGGACACACGCAATGAGGTGTGGCGCTTTGACTGGCAGCTTCACAGCATGCTCAGCTACACCTACAGAACAGGCGGCCTTCTTTTTATTTGTCAGGATGTGTCCAGGATTCGCTACATACTATGTTGAAGGAATTGGAGAGAAGAAGGAGCTGTTATAAAGCCTCCCAGGAAAATAACAGCCTTTCATTCCAGCGGTGTGTATGTGTGCAACTGCTTGCGCTTCTGCTGCTGTGTGACAAACACATGCAGCGCAGAGGAGATCTTTACGCAAGAGGGGCCATAGAAAATTGCCTTTTGAGAGATGCTGCACTGATGAGCTCCCTGCATGTGTCCACGAATCCATTAGAAGGAGAGGGGCAGACTGGGGACCGGAGGTTCGCGCTGTGTCACCGGCATGACTGTGACCAGGGCCGCTCATCTGTTCAGTCCCCGTCTGTTAGCCAGCGCCCCCTTCAGAGAGGCAGGGATGCAGCTCGTGCACACGCTGCTCTATGCAGCAGGGAGTTGGGAAAAGTGTGGGCAGAGAGGAGCGTGTGAGTGGAGCCGCGGGCTATAAGTGCCAGTGTTACTACCACAGAGCTATCCGCAGATATTGTCTCACCTCCCTCCTCGCATTTCTCAGGAGGCTTGGCTTTCTTGGCGAGACGGGGGTCCAGCCAAGTAGTGGTCTTGCTGTTGTGACTGTAATACAAGGAGAACAGACAGGGCTTTAGGTGCAGTATAAATTATATTACAAACATTTAAGATACTGTGACAGTTCAGCAATTAGTAGTGGGGAGCTCTCAGGAGCCACTACACCCAGGAGGTATTCTGCTATCTCTAGCAAACAAACAGAGCTCCTCGAAAACAGGATTGTGGTTAAAGACGAATCTTTTGGGATCAAATGACTTATTAAAGCAGCTTTTAAAATATTAGTCAAATTTTAACAAACCTCAGAGGAGCCTTCGTGGTACAAGGGAGAGAGAGATAGAGGGAGAGAGTGGGATAGAGAGGAGAGGGAGGGGGAAGAAAAAGGGGCACCACGGGAGGAAAAGACGGAGCAGTTGCACAGATCATTCAGAGCAGAACTGAGAGAGCGGGTCAGGGGTGGTGAGCTCCATTTAGCTTGTTGTTTCTCTCACTGGCAGAATGAGCTATTGATTTAGCAGCAAGCAGCAGAACCTGGCTCTCTCAGCGGCTCAGCACTGACTGCTTGCCACACTAACGGGCCAGGTAAACAATGCGGGCCTGCTGCTTTTAGCACCAGCCAACAAACCCCGACATCAAACACAGGGGGAAATAAAAGGAAAAACTTAATTGAGAACAACACAACTGCCATTGCAGAGCCTACAGATATCTCCCATGTCCAACACCTGGCTTGATACGGTACAGAGGAATGTGCTGGATGGGGGAGCAGAAAGGAGTCGTTGCCAAAACTCTCAACACACTTGGCTTACCATGGCGGAAAAAAGGGATGGAGGAGAAACTGGGAGTATAGGGAGCGGGATTAGCTCCACGCTGATGTAATGGGAGTGTAATAGGACTAAAAAGGCAGGCAAGTAGCAGCAGAAAGGCTACTTACTCTATGAAATAGACCATGCCGGTTTCTGTGTAGGCCATTTCCCAGTTTTTAGGCAAGGGCTCTTGACTTTCATCCTGTGTGTTCCATACACGCAAGTCCATGGCCCCGGCTGACTGGTTGTAGCTGGGCACCGTCTTCCTCCACTCTGCTTTGTCCTTGTGCTCTGTGGCCCGGCATGGAGAGAGGGAGACGGGCATGGAGACAGAAATAGGAATGGGTTGGGAGTAGGGGTATGGGAGATGATAGAAGGAGAAGGAGATAGGAGGTGAGATTGTGGCGCCATTGGAGCTCCTCTGGGCTCCTTGCATTTCTCCCTGCTGCTGCTGTTGCTGTTGCTGCTGCTGCTGCCGCTGCTCGAGCTGCTCTTCCTCTGTACACTGGGTGGACGGTTACATCCACAGGAGAGAAAGGGGTAGAGAGAGAGCGAGAGAGTACACAGAAAGAAGGACTGGAGCGCAGCATTTGCCATAGGATTTGCATGTCAGCAGCGATGTACTGGGAACTGCCTCCCAGGCAAGGGCAGAGCTGACCAATGCTCCAACCCAGCCGGGAGCGCCACATCACAACTCTATTAGCATCACGCTGCTGCTTGCGTGGGTGTGTGTGTGTGTGTGTATGTGTGTGTGTGTATATTTGCCTAATCTTGATTTGTGTGTGTGTGCGTGCCTGTCTGCATGAGGCTCTTATCTGCAGGTTTTCATCTGATTCTGTGTGACCTAGCTTCAACATGGCATTTAATGCTCACTGTGTTCAGCTGGGCTAATTGAATGGCAGGGATAGAAAGTGACAGCTGTTGACTGGAAGAAGTCAAGAGCCTTTTGTGTGGAAACTGGGGCCTTTTTTTTCATGATGGAAGCATGGAGAGGTTCTCAAGTCAGAATAAATGACTGCATACGCACAATTGCTCTAGCTTGTAGCAGTTTTTAAGCCCGTGCAGAGAATCATAAACTTGGAAACGTGGGTATGTGGGCTTTATGAACTGATGCAAAAAGGACACTAAAGTAGAATGGTGCTTACAATAAGATGCTGCCATTATTAAAAGCCTTGTTGTGGACACTCTCACCTCCCTCAACCTTATGCATGTTAGCAAAATGTAATAAATTGCATTTGCTATGACGCAGCCAACGAGCTCTAGAATATGCGACATCTGCCCACAAAAAGTGTTTGTTTTTCCTGGCAGGGCTCCAGACTGCCATCCAGAGATAATGTGACTCTGACAATGTTTCTCTTTCTTGCTTTTGAATGTGAAATTCATTTGACACACTCGCTGGTCTTTTTCTTTTTTGACTCATTTCCTCTCTGTTGTTTGTAGGTTCAGACAGCAAAGATGATTTCATTCTTTTCTGTGGTTTAAACAGTATTTTTGAATTTTTATGTTTATCTTCCAGATAAGTCTGTTACTGACATTTTCAAGAAAAGGTCCTGCAAGTGCTCCACACCGATTTAAATTCAAAATGTCTTGCGGCTGTCGGTCAAGCAACTTTCTTCAAGTTCTACCTGAACGAAACTTTTACACTGTAGAATTCTGCCACTTATCCTCAAGAATCACAAAATATACCATATAAAAAATAGGGCATAGATGTATTGGTAACTGGTTGCTTTTGTAGCGTGGGCTCATTTGGCTGAGAGGATTGGCAGCGCTACACCACCACAATCCAGGGTGCATTTGAGGCTGGTCAGGGGCCCATCATTGAAGCCACAACAGAGGAAGGAGTCTGATGCAACTGGAACAGCAAGAAGCCAGTTGCTGCCCCTTTGTTTGGCTGGCTGGTGTAAGACGGATGAATGGTATCGTCAGTGAAAACTATTCCATATGGATTCTTATTATATAACATTTTTTTTTGTTGTGTTTTCTAATGAGACCACAGTTTGAGGTTGTCTAACTCCTATAACATTAAGAGCTTTCCCCATTGTGTCGTGAGATATGCAAGGACATTCTTGTGCAGGAATCAAACAAGGACAAAGTCTGTCTTTCTAACCAAGGGATTGCTTTCTATTGATCTCAGACATACATCGTGACTTTGCAGGGCTGTGATTTAGTGCTGACCTTGCATACAGAACAGCTAATCCTGAGAAAGTTTGTTTGCACAGAAGAACGACAAGAAGGCAAGAAAAAGGTCCTGCTGTTTTGCATTCTGAGGATAATGTAATGAATTGTTGGGAAAAAAAAAACAATAAATCAAGCAAACAAAAACTGCTGGAGTTTAAAACTATAGCAGAGCAGTAAGCAGCACAGCTATAATGCAAACGGTTGTAAACATTAGATGCAGTGAAAAAAAAGACAGCGGTGTCTCTCACCAGCCAGACCGTTGACCATAGGAGGCCTCTCGTCTTCCTCCTCCTCCTCTGGTGCAGCGCTGTCCTTTCTGTCCATCTTACTGACTGAGGTTGTGCGTTTTCGCTGGACTTCGGTGTCAAATTCCTCATCAAACAACACCTGGTCCACCAAGTCGGGCTGTACTGGGCTGGGCTCTGCAGGGGGCTTAGGGGTCCCATAGTAGTTGCCTGGAAGGAAGAGAGGCGAAAATAATCAATACAAATTTAACATTTTTTATTTAAAGGTCCCATATTGTGCACTCTGCAAGGTGGATCGGTGGTTATCACCGTTGCCTTGCAGCTAGAAGGTTGTCCTCACTGGGTTCGCATCCCAGTGGGGACACCACGATCTTTCTGCATGGAGTTTGCATGTTCTCCCCGTGCAGCGTGGGTTCTCTCCGGGTTCTCCGGCTTCCTCCCACAAGGTCCAAAAACATGCTGAGGTTAATTGGTGATTCTAAATTGCCCCTAGGTGTGAGTGTGCTTGGTTGTCTGTCTCTAAGTGTAGTAACAAAGTATTTATAAAGTGCTTGGCAAGTTCATTTAGTCACATTTATCTTAGTGGGGTAGTGGTATTAATGGCACTAATCTCAAAAAATAAATCAAAGTGGAGCTCAATGCAAACCAGTAACCAAGCGTTTATGAAGTGCCTGGAACATTTGTTTAGTGACATTTTTTGTAAGGTGGTGACATTGGCACTGATATAAAAAACTAAGCATTTCTTGACTAAATTCATGACATAATCCTAACTTAAAACCTGCTTAACTAACCTGTTAATGTGCTCTCAGCCGACCCATGATTTACTTTAACCCCAAGAGCAGACTGAGAAATTTAGTCCTTATGAGTGTAAGTTCTGTTTTTGGCTTTGCAGTGCAGTTCACTGAATGGGAAGAGGTAACTACAAACAAAGTCATTTAGTTGACTCCAGATCAAGAGGAAACCATATCAGTTGAACTATAGAAGATGTTTTCTTTAAAAGGCACAGGGGAGTCTGGTTGTTAGTTACAAATCATGTCTGGCAAAGCTGCACTGGTTGGAACAAAGTGAGGCCAAGCTTTTGGTGCCATAACTGTCAGATTTTGGAGGATGGCAACATATCTGTCACTATACTGACTCACAGGCCCGGCGACCGTCTAACTTTTAAACAGGCACAATCGATTATTGCCTTCTCATCTCTTCAATACTCATCATGAGGGACAAAAGTCTTCATTTTTTAGTTCATGTCTCATTCATGTCTTTGTGTTCATGTGCTCTTTTTAAGACAGGACACTACAGGTGAATAAGGTAACGTTTTTAGTGAATAGATATCAACATTCAACTTTTTCAGTTAATTACTTACATTAACCATTTTTTGTATTACATGTTTTCTGAGATTTTATGTTTAAATATGTATTATATATTGAAAAATTGCTTTCATTTGCAGGAGTTTCCAGAACATAAATCAGATAAATTTGATGAAACAAGCTTCATTTTTTTTTGTTTCATTTTGTTGACATGTTCTTAAACAGGGGGTTTTGGATGTCTCTTTTATCATTGTTTAAATCAGACAAATGCTGTCAACTGTCAGAAAAAGAAAATCAGTTTTCATCCTGTTTTAAAGAGTAAAATGTTCTATAAATTAGGCCAGACTGACACATGAATACATCTCTCTGTAAAAACCTTTTGAACACAGACAGGAATGAAACTGAAAAGTTTGATGCACGCAAATGCCACTGAAGATTTCTGGCTCAGAGGATATGAAAACATTCATTTTGAGAAAACAGTCTTTGAAGACATGTTAGACATGTCCATAAATCTTTATTAGAAACCACTGTTTGTAGGTTAAAATAAAATAAAATAAAATATATCATCATGAAATCTCCTCAGTTAATTACCTTTTTATAATTACATTTTCTAAAGTGTTATATTTACATATTCTAAAAGTGAGCTATTATTGCATTAAATATGCACAAATTTGCATGAAGTTGAACAATAATGATGATACTACCTTATATACAGAGAACTTTAACTTTAAAAGCAGATATAGCAAGTAAAATATAACAACATACAACAAATCAGTTACAACAAATACCAACAGGTAAGAATAAGTCAAGTGAGAGTTAAAAAGAGTTGTAAAGCAGGATGCTGAGTTTGTCTGTCTAGAAATCTGCAGGCAGGGAGCTCCTCAGCTAAGGGGCCCAAATAGGAAAGGCTTCTTCAGATCAAGACTTTGGAACTGTTGGCAGGATCCTGCTGGAGGATCTCATAAGACTCAGTGGGAGTTAGCAGATCACAGATATAGGAAGAGGTCTGATCATTCAAGGCTTTAAAGACAAGCAAGAAGATCTTAAAATCAACTTTAAAACTCACCGGTAATGAGTGAAAGTGTGTGTTTTGGATGTTTTCTTTCCATTATTCTGAAACAAGAAATGCTATGGAGGAAAAATATGCCAAAATGTCGAAATCTGCCAATGCATGAAAGGACAATGTGTGTCCTGCTTTAACATATTTGGCTGCAGTTAAAAACATGTTTTTATGCTAGTTATTATTATTAACGTTGTTAGTTTTATGCTTCATCACTGCAGTAAGACCAGACCAAAGCCACCAAAGCGAAAATCCTGGACTGTCATATTTAGTGCTTCACTCCCTGGAACTGTGACTACAGCATTTATGCCAAGGTAGGTTTTCAGGCACTCGATTGCCCCTTTAAGTCCATCAGCTTGCCTTTGCTGTCATGTCAGTGCCTAAGGCAGGAAACTGTCTTACTCCACAGAGCGGGCCGTTGTCTTTTCTCAACTATAGGAAAGGGGTGACCCACTTTACCACTCAGCACCTTCTCCCTCCTTGCAGAAGAAGCAGACATAATAGAAAATGAAAACTTAAAAGCGCAAGAGGTAGGAAAATAGTCGAGAAGGTATGGTACAAATATTGATTCGCTGGCTGTTGTCTGCCTCTGGTAAACCACAGTCCTCCAGCGTGTGTGTGTGGGATTGCAGTGTGGTTGAGGCTGAGCTGTGTCTGAGTAGCTGAACATTGTATTGTAACAGTTAAACGGAACATCGGGGAGCAGACAGATACTGTGACAAAGGAGTGTGCCGAGAAGGAGAGAGAGATGGAGGGAGAAGAGAGAGAGAGAGAATCGGCCGTTGGGTACTGAAAGAAAGTTTGAGAAAATGAAATTACAACGTGTTGATTTAAATCTTTCCCATTTAAACAATATAAGTATGTAAAAACCTATCAGGTCATTGTTTGCTCCATTTAAAGTAAAAGAAAAAACCTTGGGTGCAGATTAATGTTCCTTACATTTAGCCCTCTGAAAGCAAGTAGTTTCTGGGTGTTTTTCTTTTACATTTTTTATTCACTGTTGGCTTATTTTTCACTACGACAAAGTCCTGCACCTCTATGGAAGCAGCCACGGTTACAAGTAGAGGAAACTCAGAATGGTCCTCTGTGCAGAATAAGAAAGTTATACTACTGAATTTAAAAGAAAAGAAATGAAAGTTGATAGATTTAGTTCACAAAAAATTAAACTGCAATTGACATGTACAACAGTGTTCTAAGTGCCCAAAGGTGGTACCAACACTCAAAGAATGATAACCCTCAGGTATTATGTTTTATCATTCGTTTCTATACTTGTCTCCCACCTACTCTGTCTAAACACAGCCTGCAGTGCAGCTGAGTTCAGCTCTTGATAGCCCTTAAAAGCCTCTAAGTCCTTAAAAGTTCCTTAGCTTTTGTCACGTGACAGTTGGGTTAATAATGGCGTATCATGTGCACAGAGGGCACCCATTTCTTAGTTTTTTGTGTGCGGAATCTAATCAGAACAAATGTTTATTGTTTTCCCATGATTTTTTAAATGACACTTATACAATAAAGTGATCTCGATGAAATCTGAACGTTTCAAGCTTAGAGAAGTGATAAGCTTACAGATGGACTGACATGTCAGAGGTGACGTGTAAATCTGACAATTGTTTCTGTTCTCACAGTTTCTGGTTCTAATAAATGGTGTAATTCTAGCGTTTTTTAAAATGCTAAATGAATTTCGAATCAGGTTTTGGTGATCAAAGGGTTAAATACAAAATTCTAATGTCAGCAAAGTTGAAAAAAAAACTGTAATAACTTGTGCAAACGTTTACCTATCAACGACAGTTAAGATAAAAGTTAACACTGAAGCTAATAAGCACATTTTATCCGATAGTTATGTTAAACAACGCATCATAATTGACAAAGATAATTACTCTTTATTTAATTTATGAACAATTAAACCCCTTGCTAGGTTTGAAATTCATAGGTACGTTAATAGAGCAATGTAAATCGAGGGAGTTAAATTAGAAGTAATTTTCTATTTTCATTACGCAGTTCCTGAAGCTTACAGAAAGGTGCACACAGACCTGAAAGTACCCATTAGGAGGAGGCTGGGATTGAGTGGCCAGTGAGAGGAATCGCAGTGAGTGTTGTAATTATACAGCACTAATGAGCCACAAAAAGAGTGAGCAGCCTTTGTCGAGAATGCAAAACTCCGTCGAGCACAGATGCAAAAGCATACAACCAAAAAAAGAAAAAGGCTGTGTGATTGTAGCTAAAGAACTCGATGTGATGTCTCTCTGAGAAGTCTGGACTTTTGGCCAGGTTCGTTTACGAGCTTTTTGTCTCCATCTCATGTGGCACCTTTTCTATTACTCAACAAAGCGCAGTTTAATTTAGTATTTATATCCTGTGACTATGGGGTAAAATCCCCCAGGCATCTACTGTCACTATTATTTTATTCAATTCAATGCATAATCGTATTGTAATATATTATTTAGTAATTATCCACAGTTCTACTTAAATTCTTAATCCCATTAATATTCTACTGTGACAAAAAGTCTCGCATCTCTCTTTTTGATGTGACAACTGCATATAGTATGTTTTATCATATCAAAGACAAGCAATAACAATTAGATTTAAATATTAAAAACACGGATGATAGCGACGGGCCACATCAAACAGGTGGACATTTGTGATTCTAATAGATAAATAATAAATCCATAAGTGAAAAAGCAGCTACAGGGTAAGAGATTGAACACTCTCTGACAGGCAACAGCACAACCACAAAGTTATACAGAATAAATACAGACCATAGATGCTGTATTTACTGTCACACAGTTGAGCAGAAATGTGAAGAACAGTCATTCATGAAGGTCTTTTCATCTGAGTCTGCACATGATGAA